TCAACATAATCTTAAAACAATCAACACGGAGGGGCCCTCATCCAGCAGTGGATAGACTCTGGCCGAATGCACAGTGACACTGATACAGGATGAGAGGACAAAAACACACACGCACTGTACAGGGAACACCCCGCCCTGTGCAGTCCTGTACACCGGCCACACCCTCACCACCACTACCACCACAACACCCTCACCACTACCACCACAACACCCTCACCACTACCACCACAACACCCTCACTACCACCACAACACCCTCACTACCACCACAACACCCTCACTACCACCACAACAACACCCTCACTACCACCACAACACCCTCACCACTACCACCACAACACCCTCACCACTACCACCACAACACCCTCACCACCACTACCACAACACCCTCACTACCACTACCACAACACCCTCACCAGCACTACCACCACAACACCCTCAATACCACCACAACACCCTCACCACTACCACCACAACACCCTCACTACCACCACAACACCCTCACCACTACCACCACAACACCCTCACCACCACTACCACAACACCCTCACCACCACTACCACAACACCCTCACTACCACTACCACAACACCCTCACCAGCACTACCACCACAACACCCTCAATACCACCACAACACCCTCAATACCACCACAACACTCTCACCACCACTACCACAACACCCTCACTACCACTACCACAACACCCTCACTACCACAACACCCTCACCACCACCACAACACCCTCACTACCACCACAACACCCTCACCACCACTACCACAACACCCTCACTACCACTACCACAACACCCTCACTACCACTACCACAACACCCTCACTACCACAACACCCTCACTACCACCACCACAACACCCTCACTACCACCACCACAACACCCTCACTACCACAACACCCTCACTACCACCACAACACCCTCACCACCACCACAACACCCTCACTACCACAACACCTTCACTACCACTACCACAACACCCTCACCACGACTACCACAACACCCTAACCACCACCACAACACCCTTAAAATCACCGCAACACCCTCACCACCACCACAACACCCTCACCACCACCACAACACCCTCAAAATCACCACAACACCCTTAAAATCACCGCAACACCCTCAACACCACCGCAACACCCTCACCACCACCACAGCACCCTCACCACCACAACACCCTCACCACCACCACAACACCCTCACCACCACCACAACACCCTCACCACAACACCCTCACCACCACCACAACACTCACCCCACCACCACAACACTCTCAAAATCACCACCTCACCACCACAACACCCTCACCACCACCACCACAACACCCTCACTACCACCACAACACCCTCCTCTTCACATCCACCTCTTGCTGATTATGTCTGCACTCAAACCACACCCATCAGAATCCCCTCCTCTTCCTGATTACGTCTGTTGGCATTTAAACCTCATTAGGAGTCTCAGCGTCATCATCATTATTATGACCACTGCTGTCGAGTTCAAATCCTGGTCAGCGGCGGAGGGGGAGGGGGCGGTGACTCGGCCCATCATTCCTCCCTCCGGGATCGATAAATCGAGCACCACTTTGCAGGGAAGTCAACAGTGATTGTCCTATGGATAAACTCACCCCTGCCACACAAATGTGGAAAATCCACCACTGACTCTGCAGGGCTATGAACAGGAGGTGAGCAGCGGGAATCTCTCCGTTTGAATCGTCGCTCGCTTCTCCAGCATGGCCACGCGTCTCCTCTCCGTGTCTCCTCCCCGTGTCTCGGCCGGCCCGCGTGCTACGTTCACGACGTCGCACACCCTCGGCGGAGTGACCCCGCCGCCTTCCACCCCACGCGCCCGTTGACCCCACGCGCTCGCTAACCCCACGCGCTCGCTAACCCCACGCGCCCGCTGACCCCACGCGCTCGCTGACCCCACGCGCCCGTTGACCCCACGCGCCCGTTGACCCCACACGCCCGTTGACCCCACGCGCTCGCTGACCCCACGTGCTCGCTGACCCCACGCGCTCGCTGACCCCACGCGATCGCTGACCCCACGCCCTCGCTGACCCCACGCGATCGCTGACCCCACGAGCTCGCTGACCCCACGCGCCCGTTGACCCCACGCGCCCGTTGACCCCACACGCCCGTTGACCCCACGCGCTCGCTGACCCCACGTGCTCGCTGACCCCACGCGCTCGCTGACCCCACGCGATCGCTGACCCCACGCACTCGCTGACCCCACGCGATCGCTGACCCCACGAGCTCGCTGACCCCACGCGCCCGTTGACCCCACGCGCCCGCTGACCCCACGCGCTCGCTGACCCCACGCGCTCGCTGACCCCACGTGCCCGTTGACCCCACGCGCCCGCTGACCCCACGCGCTCGCTGACCCCACGCGCTCGCTGACCCCACGCGATCGCTCATCCAACCTTCCCGCGTAGTCCGCCCTCGCCTCGGTCCGCGGTGAGTCGGATACGCCACACTGGACCGCGTCGCTCGTCCGCATGGCGCATCCTGCATCATTCTCAAAAACACTCTTCCTCATCATCATCGTCATCGTTGCTCCGAGGGTGGCGTAAACCTTGTAACGAGAGTCTGGACGTCGGACTTGCCCCACTGGCGTTCCATTCCACCCATAGCCCCCCCCCTCCCCCCCCCCCCGATGGCCCACTATGTTAGAAACTCGCAAGGAGTGATTTCCTGCTGCTCAAATGAGCCACGCCGATGCTTTTGTGCTCATCTCTTGTTTTCAGCCCGCCTGCAGAGCGAGTGGTTGGAAATTCCATTTTCCTATGGTAGGGATGTAGCCGTAAAGGGCAACTGCTCTTCACGGAGGGATTTTACAGCCACAGGTTGGGTGAGGAAGGATACCCGGGCCGATTGAGATATTGCCTCTATCGTCAGCCTTTCAGGTGGGAATTGAACTGGGGTATCTTGGTTTGTAGCGCTCGGTCGGTCAATTTTGGGTAAGGCCCCTTGAGCCTTGGAAGCTCTCATGGGGTGGCGGTCCCGGAGTCCTATAGAGCGTTGGGAGGACGTGGCGGCGATGCCACGATGATCGCATCGTCCATTTGAATTTTTACTAATCGTTCAATTTGACCACAATATTTAGGAAATAACATGACATTGGAATTAAACAAATGCTATTGTCCGTGAAATTAGCGCTTCGCAAATGACGTTGCGAGTTCGTGTTTTGTCGAGTTATATAATTATTTGCGGCAGAATTTATGGCGTGTGTGGGGTCAGCGGCGCATGTTGCTAATCCTAAACGATGATCATCATCGCTAACCCTGAACGATCATTAAAAGTAATGATAACATCTTCAACATTGGGAAGTGATTTTGGGGTTAGGCCGTGCACAGCGGTCTGGCCCAACGTTTGTCGCAAAGCCTCCACCTCCCGACGCAGGCAAAATAAAATTGTCGTCTTATCGTGGAATTTAATAGCACGTCGTATTGGGACAGATGATATCGCGGAAGCTCTCACGCCAACCGCTGCGCCGCCGCCCGCACTGCCCAGTAGCCACAGTGGCTGTGATTTAGCCAGGAAGCTGCATGGAATCCGAGCGCTATCTTCAGGACGTGAATCTGTTTCCTTGCAGAGCGCTTGTGCAATAAGCGGGAGGAAACAAGATGTGCGCAGAGGGAGCTTTGTACAGCACAGAATGGTCACGACGAACAACAACAACAACCGCCATTCGCCACTAAGTGGTGGTGACGTCACCACGGCGCTTGTGCCAGGCTATGTGCACGTTGAGGCCACGTGAAGTGTCGAACGCCCGCTGGCGGGGTGTTCACGACCACCACCTTGCTGTCCTGCACAATGGTGCATATCCGACCGTCGGTTATCCGCCTCGACCAATGAAGTCCCCCGAACACCCAGCGCAGTGTCGGTGCAAGGTGGTGGTGTAGCTGCCATTTCCTACGTAGCCCTCACATCGGCTCCCAAGCCAGTTGGTCACACAATGCGGCACTGTGCTGGAAAGTCGCGGTCGCGGCTATGGCCAGGAACATTGTTTACGCGCCCCGCACTTCAACCGTTCAAAGTCGACGCGGAGCAAAAAAGCCAGAGACACGGCGACGGCAGGCGGCAGCGTCCGAGCAACCCTGCCGAGGTTGATGACGGAGGGCAGCGTGCCACTTGGACTGTGCTCGTTCGCGAGCGCCGTGTCGCCTGCACCGCGTCGAATTCGAACGCCACCCACGGTCTGCGGTCGCTTCCCGCCCGACGCGAGAGGTAACGGCGCAGCCCTGCGATTTCTTTGCTCGTGCCGCTGCAGGCGGAAGGGCCTCCCCTGCCCGTGGGAGGTCTGGAGAGGCCCTTTCCGTTCGAGGGTGCTTTGGCCTACTCTTCCGCGCTGTGGCCAAACGTCTTAGGAGGTTTGGGAGTTACCGATGCTTGACGGCCACCCGCCACACGCGACCTGCCGATCGTAGATTGACCGCGGCGGTACCACGTTTGCCCCGCTGGGTGCACGGAGGCGGCGGGCAGGTGATTTAAGAAACCCGCCCCCGGTCGTTTCAACCGCGGCGCGCCAGGAGACGGCCGTGGATTGCGAGCCCGGTGCGCCGCTGGCCTTCACCGCGCTGTTTTTCTGAGGAAATTATCCCAAACAAACGCCACGTTTCTTCTTGCCCCCTCGGAATGTGCGGCGTGGGAGGGGCGGGCTGCTTACCGCACCACGATGACCACCTCGCCGTGCTGTGTGCGAACGTTGTGGCGACAGCGGCCCGGGGGAGCCGCGTGTGGGAGCCGTGTCTGGGCTTGTCCGGGTGGTATGTGTCGCGTGGGTCAGGCGTGTGTGCGGACTACGTGGGGACCAGAGGAAGAGCAAAGCAGGTGGCAGCTGCGAGGTGTGTGCAGGTGAGGTGTAGGAAACCTGTGCAGGTGATGTGTTGGAGACCTGTGGAAGTGGGGGGTGAGACACTTCTGCAGGTGAAGTATAGGAGACCTGTGCAGGTGCGGGAGCCTCGTTACAGGTGAGGTGCTGTGCGTGCAGGTGAGGTGGCCGCCATGAAGGTGTACGTGTCGGGGGAGGTGGAGGTGACGAACGGCACGGAGGCGCGCATCCCCTGTACCTACAAGAGCAGCAACCCCATCGGCAGCAGCTTCTTCATCATGTGGACCTTCAAACCCGCGATGGGGGGCGCCACAGAGAACGTGAGTCGGAGTCTTCCTCGCCGCGCACCCCCCGGCACAGCTGCGCTCGCCTGCAAAGATAAACAGACTGTCGGAGCAAGTGCTGTTAGCGAGCACCTATGATGGCACACGAGGGGGTAGGTGGCCAGCACCACACACGGCCGCATTTGTCTCCTCAGTGGCGACGTTTACACACCGCAAACAGGTAGTACTGATTTGAGGCTCAGCCGACCTAGGGGAGGACTAGGACCGGTTCAGATAATTGCCACTGCTGCAGGCCGTGAGCGGGTTGGGTCTCGTGGAGTGTTGTCAGGTGAGTGCAGGTTCTGTCCGGTGACCTGTCCGGTGACCTGTCCGGTGACCTCTGCTCCACACATTAGAGGGGGAAGCTCTTTCCCTAGCGCTCTACTGCAGGCAGGAATGAAGCACTGCGGATCCGTCGATGGCCAAAACGATTCCTGTTTCATTCCGTACCTCCGATTCGCACGGTTGGCTATGTACGGTGTGAAAGAAGTTCAACATAGTACATTCCCAGAGCTGAAGTGCAGAAGGAAGTTTGATGTGATGGGTGCTCAGAGCGTGTGGGTCAGGCACCGGCGCAAGCGCTGGCCCCTTGGGCCCCACCCCGTACACACAGATCCTCGCCGCCGCACACCGATTCTTACGGGGTCGTTACGGGGTCGTTACGAGGTCGTTACGGGGTCGTTACGAGGTCGTTACGGGGTCGTTACGGGTTTGTGGTCTTGGGTATCCATTTGGGGTTAGGTTCGTGGTTAAGATTAGGGGCGGTGTTAGCACATGTGTCCCTTCGGTGACATTGCTGGTGTTTGGCGATGGTGCCGCCCCGTCGCTCGCACAGATCCTGACGTACTCGGGCGGCAAGCCGTACCCGACGGGGTCGCGCTTCATGAGCCGCCTCACTCTGTGGGGCAACGCGGAGAGCGGCGACGCCACCATCTCCCTGCGCGACACCAAGTTCACCGACAACGGAACCTTCACCTGCAACGTGCAGAACCCGCCCGACGTGGGTGGCCAGGCGGGCAACACTGAGCTGCGCGTCGTTCTCTCCAGTGACCGCTCGCACTCACCAACTCCCCCACTCGCACTCACCAACTCCCCCACTCGCACTCACCAACTCGCCCACTCGCACTCACCCACTCACCAACTCCCCCACTCGCACTCACCAACTCGCCCACTCGCACTCACCCACTCACCAACTCCCCCACTCGCACTCACCCCCCACTCGCACTCACCAACTCCCCCACTCGCACTCACCCACTCGCACTCACCCACTCGCACTCACCCCCCACTCGCACTCACCAACTCCCCCACTCGCACTCACCCCCCACTCGCACTCACCAACTCCCCCACTCACCCACTCACCCACTCACCAACTCCCCCACTCGCACTCACCCACTCACCCACTCGCACTCACCCCCCACTCGCACTCACCAACTCCCCCACTCACCCACTCACCCACTCACCAACTCCCCCACTCGCACTCCCCCACTCGCACTCACCCCCCACTCGCACTCACCAACTCCCCCACTCGCACTCACCCCCCACTCGCACTCACCAACTCCCCCACTCGCACTCACCAACTCCCCCACTCGCACTCACCCCCCACTCGCACTCACCAACTCCCCCACTCGCACTCACCAACTCCCCCACTCGCACTCACCAACTCACCCACTCGCACTCACCCCCCACTCGCACTCACCAACTCCCCCACTCGCACTCACCAACTCCCCCACTCGCACTCACCAACTCACCCACTCGCACTCACCCCCCACTCGCACTCACCAACTCCCCCACTCGCACTCACCAACTCACCCACTCGCACTCACCCCCCACTCGCACTCACCAACTCCCCCACTCGCACTCACCCCCCACTCGCACTCACCAACTCGCCCACTCGCACTCACCCCCCACTCGCACTCACCAACTCGCCCACTCGCACTCACCCACTCACCAACTCCCCCACTCGCACTCACCCCCCACTCGCACTCACCAACTCCCCCACTCGCACTCACCCCCCACTCGCACTCACCAACTCACCCACTCGCTCTCACCCCCCACTCACACTCACCCCCCACTCGCACTCACCAACTCGCCCACTCGCACTCACCCACTCACCAACTCACCCCCTGCTCGCTCTCATCCCCTCGCACTCACCAACTCACCAACTCAGCCACTCACACTCACCCCCCACTCGCACTCACCAACTCACCCCCTGCTCGCTCTCATCCCCTCGCACTCACCAACTCAGCCACTCGCACTCACCCACTCGCACTCACCCACTCGCACTCACCAACTCACCCACTCACCCCCTGCTCGCTCTCATCCCCTCGCACTCACCAACTCGGCCACCCGCACTCACCCGCCACTCGCACTCACCCACTCGCACTCACCCACTCGCACTCACCAACTCACCAACTCACCCCCTGCTCGCTCTCATCCCCTCGCACTCACCAACTCAGCCACTCGCACTCACCCACTCGCACTCACCCACTCGCACTCACCAACTCACCCACTCACCCCCTGCTCGCTCTCATCCCCTCGCACTCACCAACTCGGCCACCCGCACTCACCCGCCACTCGCACTCACCCCTCACTTACACTCACCCCCCACTCCCGCTCACCCACTCACCCCCTGCTCGCTCTCATCCCCTCGCACTCACCCACTCACCCCCCCACCCCCCGCTCACACTCACCCATCGCTCCCCCACCTGCACGCGCTTGCTCCCACTGAACTGCACTGATCCACACTCACCCGCACACACCTGACAAGAGTAGTAGCAGCAAACCTCGCTTGCACGCATGCATTTGCTAAAGCTCACACAAGCTCACTCACCTGCTCCCACCCTGAATGCACGTGCACGCACTAGCACACGATCTAAATTCACGTGTGCGCTCGTGCGTGCGTGTTGCCTCGTGTGCGCGTGCTCGTGTCTGTGTGTGCGCGTGCTCGTGTGTGAGTGCGAGCAGGAACGCTCTCGGAGGGGAAGCTCGTGGGCATGGTGATCGGGGGTCTGGCTGGGGTGGTGATGCTCACCGTCATCATCGCCGCCATCGCCATGGTCTGCAAGAAATATCGCCGGGGTGGCTACCGCGACAAGGCAGCCGCCACGCGGTGAGCGCACGCACACCAACACCGGTGACTGTTATCCGAACTGGTCCCGGGCCTCCCCCTAGGTCGACTCAGCCTCAAATGAGTACCTGGGAGACAAAGGTGGCCAGACAAAGGCAGCCAGTCTCGTGAACAGCACTTGCCCCACAACAGTCTGTTGAGGCTATATGGGGGATCTTTATCTGTGTGTGTCCAGGTCCCCGCAGGACACGCTGCTCACCGAGAAACCGTTCCGGCATGACGAGGAACGCGATCTGCACCCTCCCACCCCACCCAACGGGCAGCGGGTGAGGACGCATCGCTCACTCATCACGTACTCACCATCACATCTACTCACCACTCATCATACACTGCATACATACACACGACTCATTCACCACATATACTCATCACGTGTGGTGTGCGTGCCGTTTACGGTGTGCGCTGTGTGTGTGGTGCGTGCGTACGTGCGGTGTGTGTTTGTGCGGTCAGGTCGTCTACGCGTCCCTGGAGAATCTACCGCCAGGCAAACATCCGTCGGCACCTCCCTCGGTGGAGTATGCGACCGTGAAGCCTCTCGCAGCCTCCGTCGCATAACCACACCGCTCACCACACCACTCACCACACCACTCGCCACACGACTCACTATAACACTCACCACACCACTGCCCACACTGCTCACCACACCACATGTTTTCTAAGAGTCTTTATTCAAAGTGTACAGAGCCGACTTCATACACACCATGCTTACCTTACACACCACCGGGCACACTGTTTCCTCTCGGTCCAGCCCAATAAACGTGGAATGTTGGGCCAACGTTGGCCCAACGTTGGATATTTACCCGCAGTGTGTGTCTCGCACACCCTGCAAACATACCAACACAAAGTGTTAAACCTCCACTGTTGTACCCGCCACTGCCCATGATATCACTACCCCTGGTCTATAAACCTGGTTTCCCTACACCTGATATCCCCATACACCTGGTATCCCTCCTACCCCTGATATCTCTACCCCTGATGGCTCAACACGTGATCAATCTGCACCTTACACACAACTGAAATCTCTACCCTCACCTCCTGAATATGTTCCCCGAGGCCGTCGTGACCACTGTATATGGGACTGTCAGACAGAATGTCCCCTGAATATAGATCTTCTGTTGATAAGAGAATAATGTCATTGTACAATGTTATACGTCATTGTTTCATTTTATAATTTTACTGTTGAGTTTGTTTTCTAAGAGTCTTGATTCTAAGTGTACAGAGCCGACTAGCCGGTTGGCGGGAGTGCGGCAGGAGTGTCGCTTCTGCGCAGCCGGTGCCTTGTGACCACCATGACCTCTGAACTCTAACCCTCGCTCCCTGCCAATCCCTAATCCGTAGCGTAACCTTGTTTAAAGGGGGCGGGGGGGGGGGGGCACGACGCAGTGAACGTTAAACTCTAAAGCGAGCGTAGAGCACGACAGGGAGTGAGTAACGAGGCGATCTGCGCGCTGCTCTCTCTGTCTCTCTATCGGGGCCCTGGGCGTAAGAGAAGCCACAGTGCCCATTGCCTAACCATACTGTACTCATTTTCGTACCAACGTGTTGTAAACTTAAGCTGTAACGAAGACGGGTGGAGGGGCTCATCCCAGCCCCTCCTTCCCTCCCCGACGCCTCAGCACTATCCCAGTCTCGACATTTCATTTTGCTGGGAGATCGCTCCGCCTGATTTTGAGTTACCGCGTCCAGATTCTGGAATTTCCTCAAACTTTGCGGCGCCAACGGAGGAGAGACACCAGACCCCGTGGGGCCAATGGCAAGGTCTCCTTTTTTCTTCCTTCCACACCCCGGCGGCCTTGACCCTTGTCGCGTGCGTAGGCAGACAGGTCCCGGTCTCCTCTCATGGCCAGGCAATGGGGGCCAGAAGACAGAACGTGCTACGACGTGGCGGCAATGTTGTAGGTTTTAAGTAAGATGTCCCCTGTAACTGCCGCGCAAGCGACAGTGTTACGAAATGTTACTTTGGTGAAATGGCGAGAACCCTCGCGAGCGACCATAGAGCACTCACCTTGTGAGTGTTACGACCTCACTAGGAATCCCCATTCACTTTGCTTTACAATCCATCCCCGCTTTGGAAATCTGGGTTCGCACTGCAATCGTAGGCTGCCAGATTTAAGATACATTTAGAGATAATTCTCTGTCCTCTGGTCCCCGGTTCTCATGTCACTGGGCAGCCGCCAGGTGATGTGGACCCCCACCATAGACGACGCTGGCAACATTCTCCTTTGTGATGCAATATTCCTCGTCGTATGGGTCACCCCCCTCTGCCAGTGTGGTGAGAGATTCTTCCCACAAGAGGCCCCATTCTTTTTGTACTACAGAGCTGGCAACACTCGTGGAAGGCCTAGGCTTTCCTGTAGCATGGTGGCCTGCTGTCCACCCTGACCCCTGGGTCCCCATACGAGGGATTGCCACCTGTCCCGGAATTGGCATCTGTTTTTGGGTGGCGGGAATTTATTTGTACCGAAATGTGGCGGTACTGTGTTGAACTTGTTACAGTTTTCTGCACGGTTTTGACACCCAGGCTGACTGAGCAACATGTCCGGGTCTGGTTTATAATGTAAATGGTGGCGACCCTCCCCTCACGCCCTTGGTGGGGACCCGTCAATGTCTTTACTTCACCTCACGGGGGAAAACTTCCAGCTTCGACCAATCTCCTCGCGACCCTCCGCATGGCCCTATCCTAACCCTGGAGTGCTAGAGCTAGGTGTCTGCTGATGATTGGAGGCATCTGGGTTTGGTGTCTTAGCGGCAGTCAGTCTGTCCCTTGTGTTCCTGGGATAATTTTATGCCTGTTTGTCTTCCAATAAAATATATATTTTATGCTAAATTTGACTGGAGTTGTAAAAAGCTTGTTATATTTCACGTACGCCATCATAACGACCATAACAGGACGATGAGATCGGCTTGTGCGGAGGTGCTAGGTGTATTGCCATGCGCGTTTGAAGTTATGCTGACAGACGGGAAGAAGAAGAATACGTGGATTAGAGAACATTCACAAGTTATGTAGACTTCATCACATTGTTAAAAACGGTGAGTGGGCTTGGGCAGGACGTGTTACGGCTACAAGGAACGATGGCCGGTGATGGAGACTAACGACAAGTGCCAGGCAGAGGAGGCAACACGCCCAGGGGTGAGCGTCCACCGCGGAGATAGAGCGATGAAATCTGCTTGTGTGCCAGAGCGAAGTGGATTGTTGCGTAATGATACTGTGAGAGATGCTGATGGCATGGGGAGGGAGGTTGTCATGCTTCAGTTGATAGACGGATCATGATGATGGCAACACTCCAGATGAGAGGTGTGTCAAACCGCCAAGCTGCACCATGCAATGTTAAGTACTCTACATTATTAATATTCACAGCCACTCATTAAAATCACCAGCTTAGCACCACATCCTGGTGATTTGTCATGGGTGAGAAGGCTTCATCCAGCAGTGGACAATATCAGTAACAAGCAGGCCAGTCGCCCGCCTTCCCATATCTGTCACCGTAATACAAAGTAAATTGTACAAAGTAAGTTGTACACATCCCATCAGCCGTGCAGCGTTCTCGGGGCCCATGTCACTGTTATCGGTTCACAAGCAAAACGTTCGACCGGTTTCAATCCTCAGTGTCTCGTCAACAGAGTCGGTCTTCCTTGAGCCCACGCTGGCGAGCTGCCTGATGTTTATTATGAAGGGGCGAGGGGGCTTCTCTCTGTGTTAGATATGGGGCATTGTTCAACTCAAAACTCTAATCCACAACTAATCGGGTGAACAAAGGGACGTAAATTAATGACAGAGAGGGGTACAACTAATTAACTCTGATCCTATCGGGAACAGTGCTCGGATTTTGCCACGTGAAACACTGCATTGTAATACGGCTCGCTGGTGTTACATATTAATCCCAAGGTGGTTGAATGAATGAACCAACAAGACAATGGGGATCGATTAATGAGTGTTTCATCAGATTTGTCGACAGCCTCCCCACGGCCTGGTGGTGGTGCTCGGCCGTTTTGGGGGGGGCAATGAATAAATTAATTATTTATGGGGTACAATTAGAACGGTTGACTGAGAAAACAGAAGAGGGGGAGATGTTGGACCAAAGGCATCCTGAGATGGGAGACGAGAGATGTAGATGAGGCAGAAGTTCCGTAGAAGTGGAGAGATATCTCGACGAGAGCTGTGATACTTCGTGAGATGAGGGATATATGGTACCGACGTAGACACAATACGTAGATGTCATTCGAGTCAAGAAGAGACGTCGTCGAGATGTTGAAATTCATGACAGCAGAGCGTCCACGTTGTTTTCCACAATATGTTTATGACGATCTGAAATCGAGCTTTTATTCATTCTTGCACCTGGCCCTCGAAAACTTTTTGCTAAATTGCTTCACGATGCCGAGCGCCCACCACTGATGGTGATGATGACGGGATGACCCTAACGATCACACCTGTAATTACAATCACAGCAGCGTCGTGAGATTGAATTACATTTCCATTCGAGTAACGTTAACCACAGTGACGTCAGTTCACTGTGCGTGACGCAACTACAATAACAACTGATCCCAGGAATGCGAATCAAAAATATTCAGTGTTGATGTTGCTCCCACATTAGCAAGTGTTGCACAAAGTACAAAAAAAACCCTCGACACCCTCGTCAGTAATAACACTGTGGCCTTAGAAAGCAAAAATACCGAGGCGACGTTTCGGGCCATAGTCCACCACGTGAATCACATCTGTTAATGGTCATTATATGGCGATGATCAACGTTTGATGATGCTGAGTGTATGGTGCTCAACAATGATGGCCATCACCCAGTAAACATGCCGACGTTGGCTCAACGTCGGCATGTTTACTGGGTGATGGTGATTCATGATCCCACATCAACTCGGAATCAACGCCGCGGAATCTGTCACCAATCACGCCACCCGCTCCACTAATTGGTTAGGCGCTCCACTAATTAGGCGCTCCACTAATGATCTAATTAATACCCCATCCCTCTCAGCCGATGAGACGTGACCCCTTTGTCTCCCGCATGACAGCTGCAGCTCCTCGAGTCTCGGTGGAGTTGTTGAAACTTTAGAGTTTGGTCAATCAAATGCCAACGTTGAGTCAACGTTGGCATTTGGTTGGCCCAACGTTGGCATGTTTACTTGCAGGGAGTGTAAGCACTGCGTGTGTACTGCACGTGCTGTGTATCTGTGTTGTGCTTCGTGTACGAGTGCGGTGCGTGCTATTGCAAATGTGAGTGCATCTGCGTATAGTCTGTAACCTGCGCGACTGTCCTGTGTACTGCTGTGCACATGTTTGCTGTGTGGTCGTGTACTGTACATGTGTGCTGTGTATGCGACTGCAGTAATGGCCTTGTTGCTGTGCTCATGTCTGAGACATTTGCCCATACACGCGATTGGAATGTGGATTCGGTCATTCCGGCCGAAGTGGAATCCCTCCTACGGTGTGAATGGACTCCTCCATTCCCCCACAGCTGGCACTGTTTTGGAATGTATATGTTTTACATTATGGGGGTGTTGTGGCATGTGGGTGCGCTCACCACTACCCCGCTCAGATAAAATGGAACAAACCCCCACCCCCATTTAAGGCAATCGACTGACCCATCTTCCCTCAGTGTGAAGCGATTTTGAATCTACCAATTTAATACGATGGGGAGGGAATTGCAATGTCGGTGCTGTCATCGCTGCTCCATCGAGACCAAGTGGAACAACTTCCCCCTGGACAAAAATTGAGTGAATTTGAGTCCCCCCCCTCCAACTACCTTCAACGTGAAATGTTTTAGAATCTCCCATTATCACGTGATGGGGGGGGGTGGAATTTGGGTGCGGTCACCACTGCTTCAGCCTGAACAAGTGGAGCCCCCTCTCGACCCACCCCGCCACGGGTGTGTGGACTCGCCCCATCTTCCTCCAGCGTCCGGCGTTTTGGAATGTCCCACTGCCACATGCAGGGGGCGTGCAGGGTGGCGGTTGTTTCAATTGCAACACGTGTGCATGTACCTCCCTGTCTGTAAATCCACCGCTAGGTATGATCTGACCGTACTTTACCGCGCCGGTCATTAATATATTACAGTACAGTGCGTGCAAAAGAAACACAGTTCATGCGGTGTCGGATTATCCGAGCAGCAAAAGTATCTCCATAAGTAGCTACGGACCCCGCATTTTCAAGGTCCCCGCGCTAAATTATTTCAAGTTACCAATTCCGGTTCAGTGATTCTGCACTTGTTCTATTACTACAGTACTATACCACCTTCAAATTTTATGAACGACTGGGTGTTTAAGGTTCGCGATTTGTCGTATTATCTGGCTGTATAGCAAATGAAAACATAAACTTTACTATGCACGGTCAAAATTTGTGTTTTAATATTGATGGGGTTTTTTTTGTTCAATGTAGGGCCCCTTTCTAACATCATATGCTACAGGTCCCGCACTTAGTTTAGTCCGGCACTGAGTTCATGCAGAGACAAGTTCGACCCGAGGAACTTGACAGCCTTAGCGTCTCTCAGAGAATGACGCCCGCTGGTGGCCGGGACATCCCCACGACAGCGCCTCGCACGCACGCACCTAGATTCCTCACACTTTTATTGCCCAATAACACCTTCATATGTAGAGGACAGTGGAGCTTGACGGAGTGGGGGTGGGGGGAGAGGTATTTTGCACGAGCTGTGGTTCCTCCTTTTGACGCGGCAGTGCATCACAAGTCTGAGATTATCGTGTGCATGCAGCAGTCAAGTAAATGTCCTGCAAAGTGAAGCAGACCAGTGGTGGAAATCTACATCCGTATGGTGGGGGCCAATTGTATCGATGGGACACCCACAAAGTGATACGAATGTTACTGTCCCCGGAGGGAGGAATGATGAGGGCTGCGTCAAACAGGATTTGAATTTGAGAAGGATTTTAATTTGAGAAGGATTTGAATTCATAACCTTCCAATTGCGAGCCACTCGCTCCACCAGACGAAGCCACTCGTGACACTCACGTTGAAGCAAGATGACTTGACACGCGAGTGGATACGATGCAAGGCGATGTAGCGTGTGGTTTTAATTGGGTTTATTTGTCGCGTTATGATCGCTCCAAGCTCACACAACTACAAAGCGTTCAATAAACGGTGAAGAGTAAGCGATGGTGGTGGTGATGAGGATGATGGTGGTGACGATGATGGCAAGCATTGTGATGATAATGATCGTGGCGCTTATGACCATCATTCTCATTACATATTGATGTGATGATGTTGATCATGTTCATGTTATGATGACGATGGTGGTGATGATAATATTGCTGTGAAAGATGATGGTGATTGCAGTCATGCTGATCAATATATCCATCAATATAAGCATGTTGATAAATGTAATGGTGGTATTTGCTGATCGATATTATGACATTCATTGCGATGATGGTGATGATAATCATAGTGGTGGTGGGTTTTGGCAAGACACAGAGCCTCTGTTTGATGTGCCCTGGTGTTATCACTGACACGAGACAAACGCACCGACGCTTACACAAAGACAGAGATCCCCCGTATAGCCTCAACAGACTTTTGGGGAAAGTGCAGTTAGCGGGCACCTACACTGACACACACAGACAACCCGACACAAAGACAAAAAAACCCGTATAGCCTTAACAGACGGTAGGGAGCAAGTGCTGTTAGCGAGCAGCTATGAAGGCCGACACTGCACACGAGGGGATGGGTGGCCAGCACCACGCCCGACCGCCTTTGTCTCCCCCGTGGCGATGTTTACACATAACACCGGGTACTCATTTGAGTCTGAGTCGGCCTAGGGGAGGCCTGGGATCGGTTCAGATACTCGTGACCGGTGGTGGCCATAAGCGGGAATCGAACTCGGGTTGTTGGGTTCGTATTGCAGTGCGCTAACTGCTACACTACCGCTCCCCACATACTGACACATACCGACACGTACGGTATATATGTAGGATGAACTTCTTTCGCACCGTACGTAGCCACCCGTGCGAATCAGAGGTGCGGGACACACAACATTAACGCCGGGTTCCAAGTCTGTTTTGTGTTGTTGCTCAAATAAGTGTCAATCATTAAGTACTCTCTATTGAGGTTGTGGGAATATTCGGTCTTTTAAACATCTAGCGTTTTAAATATGGACACACGTGAATTAACTTAAACCATTCCACGCATTTTCTCTGGTAAATATCACCGAAATTAAAAACCACGTCTCAGACGGTGGAGGGGAAGGATTCCCCCCTCCTCCTCCAATGCCCCCGAGGTCACGCGCTCAGTGGCACTGAATTGTCACGAGATTCAGTAAAAACATGTCTCAGTCGTGTCCAGCAGCTGTCTGTTCGTCTCCTTGTCCAACGTCGTCACTCTGCTTGGGCTAACTCAGCATGACACGAAAACGTCATTTGTATCCATCAGAAAATCGTTCGATGTGGAACAGTTACCACTTGCATGGCAGATCTATTCCAGAAGAGCGCCACAGATGAATGAAATGTAAATAAAAAGACGAATGTCCTCCAGTCGTGAACGTGGAGACGGTCCCCGGGAAGGAGGCATCCTCCTGCTGTTGTCCGCTAGCCGTGTTGTGTTCGTGAGCGGTAGGGGGATCGATCCATTGAAACATCCGGACCGCGAGGACACCGTGTAGCCTCTTCCCGCACCCATAAAGCGCGCGGCGACACGTACGGCGACACGTACGTAGACATGTACGTAGACATGTACGTAGACACGTACGGCGACACGTACGTAGACATGTACGTAGACACGTACGGCGACATGTACGGCGACATGGACGTAGACGTGTACGTAGACACGTACGTAGACACGTACGGCGACACGTACGTATACATGTACGTAGACACGTACGGCGACATGTACGGCGACACGTACGGCGACACGTACGTAGACACGTACGGCGACACGTACGTATACATGTACGTAGACATGTACGGCGACATGTACGGCGACATGTACGTAGACATGTACGGCGACATGTACGGCGACACGTAAGGCGACACGTACGTAGACATGTACGGCGACACGTACGGCGACATGTACGTATACATGTACGTAGACATGTACGTATACATGTACGTAGACATGTACGGCGACACGGACGTCGTGGAACAAGCGGCACGCGCGAGCGAGTCGAAGCCCAACATCGAACTGGGAGCCCCTTGCCTATCAACAAGTGATGGTTCGCCAGCAGTGGTTCGAGCAAGCCACGGCTGCTGACGAGGCAACGATATTCGAAACGGGTCCAGAGTGGTGACATCTGTTGGAATTATGCGCTGCCACAAGGAAGGGCCGCGTGGTGCGGCTGATGTGGTATCAAAATAAATACTTATGTATGTTGGTTATGTGGAGGGACGTGATATATGTGATGAAGGCGTGTTGGTGTCTGCTTGGTTACTGTGTTCGCTGGTGAGATTGATCGGTGTGTGTGAGAGAGACACGCGCACACGTCCGTGCAAAGGCCGTACGACCGTGGAATTCGCTCCGATTAAAAACATAGAAACCAGCGGTGCAGATAAAACCTTAAAACACGGCTCCGAGTTAAAGAGTGAAACGTTAAAACCGTGAAACATTAAAACCGGCTCTGGGTAAAATGAGCGGAGCGACGCAGCACAACGCGGAAACAGCGACAGTGGCCGAAGGAGCACACGCGTGTGGGAATGATTCTGAAGTTGCCATGAGCAGGCTGCATCGCCAATCTGGTAGGGGGGCTCGTCACATGGATTGCCCCCCTCCCATGATGAAGTTTGTGGTGGGGGCATCTTCAATCCAGATGTGTTACACCTCCCCACGAATCGTTACGACGGCCCGACTTCCAGTGAACGTGGAACCGTTCTGACCAAAGTTGGGCCAGCGGTTGGTCCCAATGGTTCCAACCACGAGTGCCAACGTGGGCCCCACCACGAGCCAATGGCCTCAAAAAGTCTTCCCTCAAATGATATGGATCCAGATAATCCCTCATCTGTCCGGTCACCAATTAACCCCCCCCCCCCCCCCCAGCACTAATTAAATGGAGTGACGGCGTTACACCCGATGTGTGCACGAGGGAAACACACACAAGTCTGGTTCCACAAAAAAGATTTCCCTCAACAGTTGTCAGGGAAATGAATTATCAAGGAACTACATTGTCAAGAGATGGGTCGCCTCGTTTCTAGCGACACGGAAACATCCGGCGAACACGAGGAAACATTTTGGCGGGAAACTTGAATCTGGAAACATTCAAGATGAATATTTTGGCGGGAGACTTGTATCTGGCGACGGACACGAGGAAACGTATTTTGTTGACATGTATCTGGAAACATGTATCTGTAAACATACGTGAGGGCACATGTATCTGGGATCATCCGTAAACATGCAACGTTGGGCTGACGTTGGCATATTTACCGGGACGTGTCTGGGAACGTACATGCATAAATCACGTATCCTGGAACATACATGAGAAAACATTTTTTTGGGCATGTTTCCTCATATTTGTTGGGCTTCAGAATTATTTCAAATTCATAGCTGATTATTCACTATCATCATCATCAACAGCATCGTCAGCGGCATGTAGACTACAGTCGCGATTACACCACACGCCTCACGCCGCTACTAGCAAACCTCACATCATGCAATGGGTATACCTTCTCTGCACACTGCCTGCACCCTGCCTCCCTTCAGCAACGACTCCCACCCTCCTGCACCCCCTCGCAACCAACCCTCTCGCAACTCCAGTCTGGACTCAGTCAAATATCAGATCTAGGCACAATGCCTCAGGCATGGATGCGGGCTTGGGTTGCCCCCCTCCGAATCCACCCGAATCCACGGGTTGCACTGCGAGTTCAACCTTGGGTTTGTGCCTCTCCTGGAGCCCTGTGTAACAGCACCGAGCATTTCTTATCCCAGGTCGTTGGTTAGATCGGCGTAGACATCGCGTGACCAGAATCCACAGCCCTTATCGAGAGGTATACTGGATGCGGTGTGCCGGGCGTGTACATATTTCTCGGGTCGCCAATCCGGACAGACCCGGCGGAACATCTAAGCCGCCAAAATCTGCGAATCTAATCGATGCCGCCCGCTCCGATCGGCAGCAGCTGGGATGAGCAACCGCACATCAGATCGCAGCCAGAGGCGACGTGAGCACGCTCGGCCTGCCAATCGCACTCTGACAACAAACTCTGCTGCCATGGGCAAGACATTGACACTACGCCACAGCCCGACCAAGTTGCCGCAGTGGGGCACGGCAAACTTGCTGCCCGTGACAACGGTGGCCCTCAAACGATTGCGACTTTCCAATGCCTTCCCCTGTGGCGGTGAATCGCACAGTGGCTGACACTGTGCTGTGACGCTGCTAGGAAGTACACGCAACTGTGCAGGCGCAGAAATACTCGCGAGACAACCGGTGACTGAGTGCGGAGCAAAAATCAGAAACCGCTTTGTTGCCCGATCGAAAATATTCTCCACTCTGGGCCCCGATCAGCACGGCTAACATCCTTGCAGTGGCAGATGGACATCTGTTTCGAAGTGAAAGGCCTCATTGTGGCCGCCGTGGGCCGTATGAAATGAAGTCGCGGGCCGTGTTTGGGCCCGTGGGCCGGTAGGATCTTCGCCCCCTGCGCTAATCCTTCCCCGAGCGTAGTATCGCGACTCTCAGGGACAGGCCGCGGTTGCCGTGTGGGACTGGGGTAAAGATGAGGACGGGGGGGAGGGTGGGGTTCACAAAGGTGGAGGGGGCCGTTGGGGGGTGGGGAGGTGGCCGCAGGGGTTCAGGCACTGGACACCTTCCCCCTGCCGCCCCCCGCAGCAGCCTCCCCCGCTCCCGCCAGGCCGGCTTCCTCCCCGCGCTCTCCCTCCCCCTGTTGCTCATGAGTGTCGATTCCGCCACGGTCCCCTGCCTGGTGCTGCGGGGATGAATTCACGAGGGGGTCCTTCCTGTGGGGGAGCGAGGGGGGGACAGAGGCGGGGCAACAGGGTGCGATCGTACAGACTCCACGCAGGAAGGGGCCTTAGTCGATAATCGAACCTCGGCCCCTTCTTGCTCCGAGACGCGAGCGTTACCGGGGCGCTGCCGCCCTGGTACATCACAGAACCCTGAGAAATGGCCTCCATCCAACGGTGGCTTGGGCACGGATGACGTTAATGATGATGATTATGAAGATGAGGAGGTGCATCGCGGAGCGTACTTGTTGTCGGGTGAGCCGCGTGCCCGCGCGATGTTCACGAGCTTGCAGGTGATGCACGCCAGCAGCGCGAGACCCACGGCGCCCCCCACGCAGCCCCCCACCAGGATCACCAGCGTCTTATCCTCGCGTGGGACTGCGGACAACAAAGACAACGATCCCCAGGATAGCCTTCAACCAGGCTCTTGGGAAAAGTGCTGTTAGCGAGCACCTACGAAGGCTGGAACGGCACACGAAGGGGGTGGGTGGCCAGCAACACGCCCGGCCGCCTTTGTCTCCCCAGTGACGATGTTTACCCAACGCACCAAGCACTCGTTTAAGGTTGAGTCGACTGTCATTGATCGTGAGTTGGAATTAAACTTGGGTCGCCGGGTTCGAAGCAAAGTGTGCTAACTATTACACCATCGCTCTTCCTGCACACACGTATACACATACAAAAATCCTCCGTATATCCTTAACAAGGCTGTTGGGGCAAGTGGTGTTCGGTGAGGACCTATGAACGCCAACAGGACACACACATCCGGCAGTTCGCTAGCGTTCCTTCAAGCGAGCCTGACTGCTTACGAGGCTCTTAATATCGAAACCAGTCCAGAGTTTCATGGCTCTGTTGAACCAAGCCTAATGTATAATCTCGGGATAATAAGATCATCACATGGGATAATAAGACCATCACATGGGATAATAAGACCATCACATGGGATAATAAGATCATCACATGGGATAATAAGACCATCACATGGGATAATAAGATCATCACATGGGATAATAAGACCATCACATGGGATAATAAGATCATCACATGGGATAATAAGACCATCACATGGGATAATAAGATCATCACATGGGATAATAAGATCATCACATGGGATAATAAGACCATCACATGGGATAATAAGACCATCACATGGGATAATAAGACCATCACATGGGATAATAAGATCATCACATGGGATAATAAGACCATCACATGGGATAATAAGATCATCACATGGGATAATAAGACCATCACATGGGATAATAAGACCATCACATGGGATAATAAGACCATCACATGGGATAATAAGATCATCATATGGGATAATAAGACCATCACATGGGATAATAAGACCATCACATGGGATAATAAGACCATCACATGGGATAATAAGATCATCACATGGGATAATAAGACCATCACATGGGATAATAAGATCATCACATGGGATAATAAGACCATCACATGGGATAATAAGATCATCACATGGGATAATAAGACCATCACATGGGATAATAAGATCATCACATGGGATAATAAGATCATCACATGGGATAATAAGACCATCACATGGGATAATAAGACCATCACATGGGATAATAAGACCATCATATGGGATAATAAGACCATCACATGGGATAATAAGATCGTCACATGGGATAATAAGACCATCACATGGGATAATAAGATCATCACATGGGATAATAAGACCATCACATGGGATAATAAGATCATCACATGGGATAATAAGATCATCACATGGGATAATAAGACCATCACATGGGATAATAAGATCATCACATGGGATAATAAGACCATCACATGGGATAATAAGATCATCACATGGGATAATAAGACCATCACATGGGATAATAAGACCATCACATGGGATAATAAGACCATCAAATGGGATAATAAGACCATCACATGGGATAATAAGATCATCACATGGGATAATAAGATCATCACATGGGATAATAAGACCATCACATGGGATAATAAGACCATCACATGGGATAATAAGACCATCATATGGGATAATAAGACCATCACATGGGATAATAAGATCGTCACATGGGATAATAAGACCATCACATGGGATAATAAGATCATCACATGGGATAATAAGACCATCACATGGGATAATAAGATCATCACATGGGATAATAAGATCATCACATGGGATAATAAGATCATCACATGGGATAATAAGACCATCACATGGGATAATAAGATCATCACATGGGATAATAAGACCATCACATGGGATAATAAGATCATCACATGGGATAATAAGACCATCACATGGGATAATAAGACCATCACATGGGATAATAAGACCATCACATGGGATAATAAGACCATCACATGGGATAATAAGATCATCACATGGGATAATAAGATCATCACATGGGATAATAAGGTCATCACATGGGATAATAAGGTCATCACATGGGATAATAAGATCATCACATGGGATAATAAGATCATCATATGGGATAATAAGATCATCACATGGGATAATAAGATCATCACATGGGATAATAAAACCATCACATGGGATAATAAGACCATCACATGGGCTAATAAGACCATCACATGGGATAATAAGATCATCACATGGGGCGGGGGCATCAGTACACGACCGTCGCGTGGCAAGGCACGCACTCTCAGTGAGGATGATGAGCTTCATGGTGCTGAACCCCAGCTTGCGCTTGTCGGTGAGGTGGCGTGCGCTGCAGTTGTAGACGCCGCTGTCGTCGATCCGGGCGCGCAGCAGCTCGAGCGAGGCGGAGCCGCGGCGCACGTCCCCGCTCCACTCCAGGCGCCCGCGGAACTGGTTTGACACCACGTAGCTCGGGCTCCCCTTCACCATCGAGAACAGCTGTGCGGGGGAGAGGGGGCACACGGGGTGGAGGGCATGGGGAGACACGGGGGCATGGGGAGACACGGGGGCATGGGGAGACACGGGGGTATGGGGAGACACGGGGGCATGGGGAGACGCAGGGGTTAGAAGGGGCATGGGGAGACGCGGGGGCATGGGGAGACGCGGGGGCATGGGGAGATGCGGGGGCATGGGGAGACGCAGGGGTTAGAAGGGGCATGGGGAGACGCGGGGGCATGGGGAGACGCAGGGGATAGAAGGGGCATGGGGAGACGCGGGGGCATGGGGAGACGCGGGGGCATGGGGAGACGCGGGGGCATGGGGAGAGACGGGGGCATGGGAAGAACCTAGTTCGATTCCTGCTCACGACCAATAACAGTGGCGAATATATATTAAGGCGTTGTTGTGTTGTCCTTGCGTTATAACCAAGTGAAATGTGTTTCACGGATAGTCCGTGGTAATTCCACGGTAGATGCGTGGCGAACGCTCACGGAGATCCGCTTGGAGGTCGCGTTCTCGGAGTAGAACCAGTGCACGTTGATGAGCTTCGAGTCCATCGTGTAGCACGAGACCAGGGTGCAGGGCAGCGTCACGTTACTGCCGTTCAGATTGCGCATCACAGACGGTGACACCACCTCGATGCACAGCGCCGGGTGTCCTGTCGGGGGGGGACAGGTGGACACCCGCGGAAGAGACACACGGGGAGCACACGGAGAGAGACAAGGAGACACGGAGAGAGACAAGGAGACACAGAGTCACGTGACTGCTGTTCAGAGCGCGCATCACAGACGGAGACACCGTCTTAATATTAAGGGCCTGGTCGTGAACTTGCGGGGAGAGGGCATTTATGAATTCCCCCAAGAATTTGAATTTCGTCAAATTTCTTTAAAAAATAATCATACTTTGGAGATGGGTTTGTGCACATGCCATTAGGGTTACGTGGCCGTCAGCACAAGTGTCGAGGTGATTGTAAGGTGGAGAACTATTCAAATTAGATTGGTCAACAACAGGGTGATTTTAAAAAGCCCGGACAAAAAAAACACTAATTAAAAACGGGGCTGATTGGGAGACCGTGAGGAGCAATAAAGGAGATTGGTGGAGAGTCGGGAAAAGTTCCTCGAAGACGGAGTAAAGTCCAAGTTCAAGACTTACTAGGGCTGGAATTTCTTAACACACACACGTGTGTGTGTGTGTGTGGAGAGCGGTAGTGTAGCGGTCATCACGCGGCGCTACGAACCCGGCCACCCGAGTTGGATTATCGCTCATGGTCAACACCAGTGACGGTTATCTGAACCGGTCCTGGGCCTCCACTAGGTCGACTCAGCCTGAAATGAGTAACTGGTGCGGTGTGTAAACATCGCCACTAGGGAGATCAAGACGGCCAGGCGTGGTGCTGGTGGCCACCCACCCCCTAACTAAAACATTTTTTTATTTTACCAGTTAAGGTCCGCTGAGTTACGTAGCTCTTTTTCAGAAGTGACCTGGCCACAAATGATAGCTCAACGAAGTGGCTTATCACGTGGAAATTTATATCAGCCAATTACTCTAAACGCATGTTTCTAAATGTGGAGGGAAAAAAACAGAGGACCAAGAAAAAACACACGACTACGGGGAGAGAGACATGCAAACTCCAAATATACAGCAACAGCAGGCGTCAGGATCGGGATCGAACCCACGACCGCCTGTATAGCAGGCGAGGGAGTTAACATCTCGCCACCGTGGCAACCCACAGGTGCTCGCTAACAGCACTTGCCCCAACAGTCTGCTAAGGCTACACGGGGGATCTTTGTGCGTAGTCGAGTGTGTAATTCTATATGTGCGGTTTTATTATCGTTCGCTCAGTGTTGATAACGAGTCAAGCTGATCTCGGATAAATTTCACCCCCCGGGTTGCCCGCCACCCCTCCCCCACCCTCAACTCCCTCCTCCCCGCTCCCTCAGCCGACCGTGTCTCTGTTTCACAGTCCCACCGTGACCTCTCCCGTGTCTCTATCCCCCGTGTCTCGTACCGCTCGTGAGGAGGAGGAGGAATGTGGGGACGAGGAGGAGGCTGACCCAGACTCCCGGGCGGAGGGGGCGACTCGCGGCCATGACCTCGACAATCCGAGCCGTCCCCTAGCGCCATCATCAGCATCAGCTCCATCATCATCACCACCACCAGCAGCAGCAGCAGCAACATCATCATCACCAGCAGCAGCAGCATCATCATCATCACCACCAGCAGCAACAGCAGCATCATCATCACCACCAGCAGCAGCAGCAGCATCATCATCATCACCACCAGCAGCATCAGGTTCAGCTTAATTACCGGCAGTTTTATCAGCAGCAGCTTCATTATCACCGGATTACGATTATGATAATCTCTGATGTTATTCGCATCATCACCATCATCAGCTTCATCAGCAGCTTCCTCGTAAATATCATTATCGATCATGAGCATCATCTCCGTGATCAGCAAAGTTACCTCGTAATCACCACATCATAAACAACATCACCATCATCATCATCACCATATTATACAAACCAGTTATTTCATCGTATCGTATTTTATGGTAATCGCTTTCATCATCAACATCACCATCTTCTTGGTTCTTTCGGTAAAGTCACGTAGAATGGGAATAAAATAATGAAAATAAAACATAATAAAACAGCGCTGTCGTCCCGACAGTTCTGTTCCTTCACCTGAAGAAGGCTACTTGTGTTGTGGCCGAAACTTCGTGAGAATTTTATTTTATTATGTTTTAATTTTATTATTTTATTTCCATTCTACGTGACTTTACCGAAAGAACCAAGAAGATGAATCCCTGCAGTCACAAAAGCTTTAAATCGAAACACCACCATCGTTTTTAGCGCGGTATCAATCACATCATCATCAACATTCACCTGGCATCATCATTTATAATTTCCACACCACCAAAACATCATCGCAATAACACACTCGCCATCACTACCACCATCACATCACCATAGTGCCATCACCATCAACCCATCACCATAACAACATCACCATCAACCCATCACCATAACAACATCACCATAGTGCCATCACCACAATCCCATCACCATAGCAACATCACCACAATCCCATCAGCATAGCAACATCACCACAATCCCATCACCATAACAACATCACCATCAACCCATCACCATAACAACATCACCATCAACCCATCACCATAACAACATCACCATCAACCCATCACCATAACAACATCACCATAGTGACATCACCACAATCCCATCACCATAGCAACATCACCACAATCCCATCACCATAGCAAAATCACCACAATCCCATCACCATAACAACATCACCATCAACCCATCACCATAACAACATCACCATCAACCCATCACCATAACAACATCACCATCAACCCATCACCATAACAACATCACCATCAACCCATCACCATAACAACATCACCATCAACCCATCACCATAACAACATCACCACAATCCCATCACCATAACAACATCACCATCAACCCATTACCATAGCAACATCACCATCAACCCATCACCATAGCAACATCACCATCAACCCATCACCATAGCAACATCACCATCAACCCATCACCATAACAACATCACCATAGTGCCATCACCACAATACCATCACCATAGCAACATCACCGTCAACCCATCACCATAGCAACATCACCATCAACCCATCACCATAGCAACATCACCATAGCAACATCACCATCAACCCATCATCATCTGCAACTCGCGCTTCCCACTCGTGCGCTGCTGCCCAAGTGTCGCACGCAGGAAATCAATAATAACATCAATCCCCACCATCATCACCATCATCACCAATGTCGTCACCATCATCACCCCCCATCATCAACATCCCCAACCATCATCACCGTCGATCCGTACCGCGGGAGCTGATGACGCGTGCGCAGTTCCCGGCGATGAGCAAAGCCGCGGAGATGATGGTGATGAGAACCGTGGTGATGGTGCCTTCCACTGCGCCAGTAGTGCTCACCTCCCTCCTCGCTGCGGCTCCCGCGTCTCGCTCACGCCCGGTCCGAAATCCGGGCTCCTCGTTTTGCGTTCCTAGCTTCAGACCCCATCGCTGCAGACTTCTCTATAATCCGGGTTTTGAGCGTTATGCTGTGAACTACGTACTCAGAGTTTTGTGTTCCAGGATCCACGATCCGGGTTCCTGATTTTATGTTGCAGAATCAATGCTCCGTGCTCCGAGTTTCATATTCAAGCCCTGACATCTTTGATCCATGCTCCGGGTCTTGGGTTCCAGAATCCAAATTCCGAGCTCCGGATTCCGTGTTTCAGACCCCATGTTCCACACTTCTGGGACTCTCACTCCGTATGTTTCGCTTCCGTACAAGCTGCTGCAGGTTTCGTGATCCAGGCTCCACACTCCGGGCTCCGCGATCCGGGTTTTGTGCCGCTGGCGTAGTTAATGGTTCCGAGGATGCACGCAAGCGTCCTCGTCCAGCCGATCAAATATCGCACCCGGGGGGACGCGCGGAGCAGGCGGGGCGAGAGGCATACAATTAGCTGGGTCGAGAGCGGGGGGGGGGGGTGCTCGCTAATAGTACTTGTCCCAACAGAATGTTAAGGCTACACGGGGGATCTTTGTCTTTGTGTGATGGGCGGTAGTGTAGCGGTTCGCGTGCTGCGTTACGAACCCGGCGACCCGAGTTCCATTCCCGCTCACGGCCATCACAAATGAGGATTATCTGAACCGGTCCTGGGACTGCCCCATGTCGACTCAGCCTAAAATTAGTATCTGGTGCAATGTGTAAAACATCGTCACTAGAGACAAAGGCGGCCGGTTGTGGTGCGGGCCACCCACCCCACTTGTATCCCGTACCGGCCTATGGTCGGCTGCGAATGAAGTTCTCCATACACGTGGGTGCGTGTAAGTAGAACTTGCCCCAACAGTCTGCCAAGGCTCTACGGGGGATCTTTGCCTTTCATGGTGGAGAGGGGGGCGCGGTTAGTGAGGGGGGGGGGGGTTCGTAAGGTGATGGATGCATTTGTGCTGTGCGTTCGTGTGTAACGGCGATGTTGATTCGTGTTGGTTTGGGTTTGTGATAATGAGTTGGTGGGCGTGTGTGTGTCGGTGTGATGATGTGTGATGGTCTGCAATCGTCTGATGACACAAGGTGGGGTGGCCAGAACCACGCCCGGCCGCCTTTGTCTCTCCCCGGGTTTCGCGCATCTCGCACCTTCCCTTGAGAGAGCCCAGCCACGTGTCTTCCACGAGGTGTCTCCACGGCGCAAGCCAGTCAGCTGCTGGGCATTCTACGACGTGTGGAACTACCTTCTTCAATATTCTCACGCGAAAATCCCAGACAGAATGGAACGTCTCGTTGGCCCAGGGCATCAGGTGACATCGCCAACACGCAATCATGACAGATGCCCCGTGTAGCCTTCATAGAATTTTGGGGCAAGTGCTGTCAGCGAGCCCCTATGAAGTCCGACACGGCACACGAGGGTGTGGTTCCAGAATACAAGGATCCTTCTTCGTGCTGATGAAGGGCCATATTCCGAAACGTTGCTCAGATTGTTTTCAGCACATGAACAATGACCATTGTCCGAAACGTCGCCTGTACATGCATACAAACCAACAAAATAATTTCTGATTCAACCGCATTAATTGATCAATCTAAACAGTTTTCGTTGAAACCTTCTGCTGCCAGGCCACCAAGATTATACGGCTTACCAAAAATACATAAAGTAGATACACCTCTTCGTCCCATAGTCTCTACTATCAGCTCCCCCACCTACAAACTAGCTCGTTTTTTGTCTGAAATCCTGCGTCCTTTCACTGGAAAGACCACCTCTGCGGTACAAAATTCTACTCACCTGGTATCGACAATCAAGGGTATTTCCCTGTCCCCAGACGACCTGCTTGTCAGTTTTGATGTAGTTTCCTTATTCACCAAGGTTCCTGTACCTGACACCATTGCAATCATTGAAGACTTGGTTCATCAAGGACTAAACACTGAGGTACCCCCCCTGGTGAGACACTGTTTAACCAATACATACTTCACTTGGAATGGAACTTTCTACAAACAAACTGAGGGCACCCCAATGGGCTCCCCCCTTTCTCCAGTTATAGCTAACATTTTCATGGAGAAATTTGAGACTGACGCCATCCAGACTGCCACTCTGCGCCCAACCTTATGGAAGAGGTACGTGGATGACACTTTTGTCATCTGGCCACATGGCCGGCCTGCTCTAGACCAATTCTTCGACCACACCAATTCCATACACCCAGCCATCAGATTTACCATGGAAGTCGAAATAGATGGCAAGATACCTTTTTTGGATGTCCTAATTAAAAAGAGACCTGATGGTTCAATGAGCCACTCTGTCTACAGGAAAGCTACCCATACGGATGCTTATCTGAAACCGGATTCCCACCACCATCCATCACAGAAGAATTCTCTCATCAAGACTCTGTATCATAGAGCCCAATGCATATCCGACCAGGAACACATAAGCAGTGAACTCAAGCACGTACACCAAGCTCTTAGGGCTAATGGTTACTCCGACTATACAATCCGCAAAGCTATCACTCAAACCATGAAGAAGAACCCTCTTGAGGAGCCTTTCAAAACCATCACTTTACCCTACATTGCTGGGATCACAAAAAAGATCTCCAAAATCTTGAATAAACACAAGATCCAGGTCCGTTTCAACACATTACATAAAATCCGTGATCTGGTTCCGTCTGTAAAAGATGTGATTCCGGACATACAATACCCTGGTGTCTACAAACTAAGTTTCCTCTGTGGTAGTAGTTACATTGGAGAAACCAAACGCCATGTCTCGGACCGCATTCGTGAACACAAAGCAGACCTTAAACACGGTAGGACCAACACCTCGGCCGTAGCAGATCATTGTTCTAATTCAGTAGGCTCACATGCCATTGACTTTTCCAAGACAGAGGTTCTTTGTAAGCCATCTGGCTTCCATGAGAGATTCGTTCATGAGGCTATCCACATATACAAGCACAGAGACAATTTCAACCGAGAAGATGGATTCTATCTTAGCAATCATTGGAAAGATTTGATAAACCATTTCACTTCTTAATTGATTGTTCACGCTTACAGTGGCTTTCAGACAGCATACATTATAAAAAATTTCGTCTCCCCCCTCCTCTTTTCAGAATATAGATGGACTAGTCCTGGGCAAACTGCCAAATCGCTGCGCGTGGCGCTAACGTTTTTTATAAATAAATAAATGCGCCGTTTAAAAATACATTTATGCAAACCAACACACCTGAAGATGACCGTTTGAGTTATGGTCGAAACGTCGTGAGATTTTTTTATTGTTTTATATATATTTTATTATTTTGTTGTTTCTCTTCAACGTGACTTTACCGAAAAAACTAAGAATACGTTCTACTTAATTAAATAGACGTTTTAATAAATGCTTTCTCCAACAACATCAGAGTGCAGCGGTACATTAAATACGCACTACAATGACAATAGATTAAAGCGATTTGAAGCATGTTTTATTTTCAAAATGGAAATATGGTTTTGGGGGGGGGGCAGAGCTTTGTGACGTCATATTTGAGGGGGGATCTGACTTTTTGTGACGCCGTGTCGTCCACAATCGCGTGACGTCATTTATGAACGGCCCCTAAGTGAGAACGCTGTGCTTGATGAGTCACTGTGGGTGATGAGTCGCTGTGGGTGATGAGTCGCTGTGGGTGATGAGTCGCTGTGGGTGATGAGTCGCTGTGGGTGATGAGTCACTGTAGTTGAGTCTCTGTGGGTGATGAGTCTCTGTGGGTGATGAGTCTCTGTGGGTGATGAGTCGCTGTGAGTGATGAGTCGCTGTGGGTGATGAGTCGTTGTGGGTGATGAGTCGCTGTGGGTGATGAGTCTCTGTGGGTGATGAGTCGCTGTGGGTGATGAGTCGCTGTGGGTGATGAGTCGCTGTGGGTGATGAGTCGCTGTGGGTGATGAGTCGCTGTGAGTGATGAGTCTCTGTGGGTGATGAGTCTCTGTGGGTGATGAGTCGCTGTGGGTGATGAGTCTCTGTGGGTGATGAGTCGCTGTGGGTGATGAGTCGCTGTGGGTGATGAGTCTCTGTGGGTGATGAGTCGCTGTGGGTGATGAGTCACTGTGAGTGATGAGTCGCTGTGAGTGATGAGTCTCTGTGGGTGATGAGTCGCTGTGGGTGATGAGTCGTTGTGTGTGATGAGTCGCTGTGAGTGATGAGTCTCTGTGGGTGATGAGTCGCTGTGATGAGTCTCTGTGGGTGATGAGTCTCTGTGGGTGATGAGTCGCTGTGAGTGATGAGTCTCTGTGGGTGATGAGTCTCTGTGGGTGATGAGTCTCTGTTGGTGATGAGTCGCTGTGGGTGATGAGTCGCTGTGGGTGATGAGTCGCTGTGAGTGATGAGTCGCTGTGAGTGATGAGTCTCTGTGGGTGATGAGTCGCTGTGGGTGATGAGTCGTTGTGTGTGATGAGTCGCTGTGGGTGATGAGTCGCTGTGGGTGATGAGTCTCTGTGGGTGATGAGTCGCTGTGGGTGATGAGTCACTGTGAGTGATGAGTCGCTGTGAGTGATGAGTCTCTGTGGGTGATGAGTCGCTGTGGGTGATGAGTCGTTGTGTGTGATGAGTCGCTGTGAGTGATGAGTCTCTGTGGGTGATGAGTCGCTGTGATGAGTCTCTGTGGGTGATGAGTCTCTGTGGGTGATGAGTCGCTGTGGGTGATGAGTCTCTGTGATGAGTCGCTGTGGGTGATGAGTCGCTGTGGGTGATGAGTCGCTGTGGGTGGTGAGTCGCTGTGGGTGATGAGTCGCTGTGGGTGATGAGTCGCTGTGAGTGATGAGTCGCTGTGGCCGTGACGGCGACTGCCGCCTGCCCGGGCAGTGACAGCGCGAAGCCTCAACGCTGAGTTGCCCCCCCCCTGCCCCCCCCCCCCCACTTCCTCCCCGCCCCCCTGCCCCGCGTGTTCACCCCTCATCACCCCTCGCCTGCAAACTGCAAGGATGTTCCGACGCCTTCTCTTGCAAATGACAACCGCCGACTGTACCCATCGCCAACCAAGCCGGGCGGAAATGTTGGCTACGCTGCTGCTGCGACCAGACACGGACGCTCTCTGCTGGAGCCCTCTCGTCGTGATAGGAGTAGCAGAGGCTCCACCTTGGCATCAGCGAGCTGCTGCTGTTGATGCCAACTGTGTGGAGGACCGCACAGGTGGCGGCACAGAGCCCATGGAGGGTGAAGGAGCAGCATCAACCTCTCATCCTCGACTCGCGTCGGTGGTGAGTGGTATTAAAACCCGGTGCTGGCCCTCCTCTAGGTCGACTCAGGCTTGATAAGTATTAGAATAAGTATTAGCTTGTGGTGTCTAATTGTAGTGACTCTCAGGCAACTTGAACTGTCGAGGTTTATTTATTATTTAGGGCGTTTCACGCAGATGACTTGGGCCAGGGATGGCACGCAAGTAGCGACGGCGTGAAGATAGTCGACCCCCATCCCACAGCAGCCCCCAACCTCGCCAAACACTTCCATTAGTTCCCGGCGTGGCCCTCACCACGGCCACGCCCCCTTTCTCGAACCCTCGAGCCCGTTGCCGGACTTACCACGTGGTTCCCCTTCCGTGATTACCCCTCGTGACCACTGCGCCACGTGCTGCACCCGCACCAGTCTGCACCCCTGCACTGCCTCTGCGTAATGAATGTGGCGCCTATTCTGTGTTGGCGAGCCGGCTAACGAGAGGTCGTTGTTGGTTATATCGGCGCGGTTGCTGAGCACTGGGCCCTAGAGGCTAGAAACGGCAGGCGGGCAGCAACAAACAGCACGTTTGGCAATGTGGAAAACCCCGCCGATGTTGAGAAGTGAAACTGGAGCGAACACAACAACAGAGACATCGATTTTCGGAAACCAAAATGTACCCCTCCCACCACCAAATCTCAACACTCCCCCCCCCGCCCCCCAGCGAGTGCAGTCAGCATTAAAGTATTAGAGTTGAATGAATGCGACTCGCTCCGCAGTTCGTCGAGGTGGAGTCGAGCTGATGGCAGCGATGATGGCTGTGGTGATGACGGTTATGATGACTCTCGGGAGCCATTTCTTTGTGCAGCTGCTCCTGCTCCTGGTGAATACTGCTTCAGGTACGGGCCCCGCGATCCCCTATGCCCCAACCCCTCCAAACTAGACCTCCCCCTCCTACGTGCACCCATCACCCCTCTCCCATCACCCCCTGCCATCACCCCTCTCCCATCACCCCCTGCCATCACGCCTCTCCCATCACCCCTCTCCTCTCTCTCATCACCCCCTGCCATCACCCCTCTCCCATCACCCCCTGCCATCACGCCTCTCCCATCACCCCCTGCCATCACCCCCTGCCGTCACGCCTCTCCTCTCTCCCATCACCCCTCTGCCATCACCTCCTGCCATCACGCCTCTCCTCTCTCCCATCATGCCCTGCCATCACCCCTCTGCCACCGGGACGTCACTCTGAGTGTGGATGAGCGTGGTTGAGCTTGGGGCAGAGGAGGGAAACTTTCCAATCAGCACACGCGGCTCACCGTGCCGCGTGTGCTGCAGCGGCCGCTCTCTCCGACTCAGAGCGCTTTCGTTCACCCCCTTCTCGCACGAGACGGTGAACGCGCCGACGTTGAGCCAACGTTGCGCATGAGGTTGGAACCGTAGGCCCGTCGGCTCAGCGGCGACGTTGAGCCGACGGCTCAGCGGCGACGTTGAGCCGACGGCTCAGCGGCGACGTTGAGCCGACGGCCAGTTCCCTCCGTTTGGCCGCTGTTCCGTTGTTAGCCTCGACCATGGGCCACCAGCATGTCCCTCCCAAACCCACTTCGGGTTTTTCTTAGCAGTGTGCGTGATGCCCCTCGACTTGCGTGTTCGCTAAGCCGAGTGGCTCCTCCTCCCGCCCCTCTACTCATAGGGGGCCATACGCACTGATCGAAAACGTCCCTCTGCTGTTTACAATCAGACAATCAGGGTTCCTAAAGTGCTCCACCATGCTCTTGATCGCCTCTATATTGTATTTTGATCCCGGTCCGCCTTCAATCATACATCTAGAGGTGTACAATAATAGATCTAGAGGTGTACAATCATAGATCTATAGGTGTACAATCATAGATCTAGAGGTGTACAATCATAGATCTATAGGTGTACAATCATAGATCTAGAGGTGTACAATCATAGATCTATAGGTGTACAATCAGATCTAGAGGTGTACAATCAAAGATCTAGAGGTGTACAATCATAGATCTATAGGTGTACAATCATAGATCCGTAGGTGTACAATCATAGCTCTAGAGGTGTACAATCATATCTATAGGTGTACAATCATAGATCTAGAGGTGTACAATCATAGATCTATAGGTGTACAATGATAGATCTAGAGGTGTACAATCATAGATCTAGAGGTGTACAATAATATATCTATAGGTGTACAATCATAGATCTAGAGGTGTACAATCATAGACCTTGAGGTGTACAATCATAGATCTAGAGGTGTACAATCATAGATCTAGAGGTGTACAATCATAGATCTAGAGGTGTACAATCATAGATCTAGAGGTGTACAATCATAGATCTAGAGGTGTACAATTATAGACCTAGAGGTGTACTATCATAGATCCAGAGGTGTACAATCATAGATCTAGAGGTGTACAATCATAGATCTAGAGGTGTACAATCATAGATCTAGAGGTGTACAATGATAGATCTAGAGGTGTACAATCATAGATCTAGAGGTGTACAATCATAGATCTAGAGGTGTACAATCATAGATCTAGAGGTGTACAATCATAGATCTAGAGGTGTGCAATCATAGATCTAGAGGTGTACATGCCATGGTGTTGATGCCATTCGCGGTAGCTCAGAAGGGGTCGTCTGTCACCCGGCAGCCGACAGTCGCAGCTAAGGTTGGCCCAACTCCACAAGTTTCAACTCCATCTAGCTCAACTCAACTCCATCCAGTTCCACTAAACTCCACCCAGCTCCACTCAACTCCACCTAGCTCTACCCAGTTCCACTCAAGTCCACCTAGCTCCACTCAACTCCACTCAACTCCACCCAGCTCCACTCAACTCCACCTAGCTCTACCCAGTTCCACTCAAGTCCACCTAGCTCCACTCAACTCCATCAATCTCCACTCAACTCCACCCACCTCTACCCAGTTCCACTCAACTCCATCCAGCTCCACTCAACTCCACTCAACTCCACCCAGCTCCACTCAACTCCACCTAGCTCTACCCAGTTCCACTCAGCTCCACTCAACTCCATCAATCTCCACTCAACTCCACCCACCTCTACCCAGTTCCACTCAACTCCATCCAGCTCCACTCAACTCCACCCACCTCTACCCAGTTCCACTCAACTCCATCCAGCTCCACTCAACTCCACCCAACTCCACCCAGCTCCACTCAACTCCACCAGCTCCACCCAGCTCCACTCAACTCCACCCAGCTCCACTCAACTCCACCTAGCTCCACTCAACTCCATCCAGCTCCACTCAGTTCCACCCAACTCCACCCAGCTCCACTCAACTCCACCAGCTCCCCCAGCTCCACTCAACTCCACCCAGCTCCACTCAACTCCACCTAGCTCCACTCACCTCCACCTAGCTCCACTCAACTCCACTCAGCTCCACTCAACTCCACCCAGTTCCACTCAACTCCATCCAGCTCCACCCAGTTCCACTCAACTCCACACCGCTCCACTCCACTCCACCCAGCTCCACTCAACTCCACCAGCCCCACCCAGTTCCACTCAACTCCACCCAGCTCCACTCAACTCCACCAGCGCCACCCAGCTCCACTCAACTCCACCCAGCTCCACTCAATTCCACCTAGCTCCACTCAACTCCACCCAGCTCCACTCAACTCCATCCAGCTCAACCCAGCTCCACTCAACTCCACCAGCTCCACCCAGCTCCACTCAACTCTACCCAGCTCCACTCAACTCCATCCAGCTCCACCGAGTTCCACTCAACTCAACCCAGTTCGTTCCACTTAGCTCCACTCAACTCCACCCAGCGACACCCAATTCCACTCAGCTCCACCCAGCCCATCATATGTCACCTGTTCCCTTCTCCCCCTACCAGCCCAGCAGCAGCACCTGTGGGTGCGCCCGGGCGACAAGGCGACCCTGCCGTGCGGTGGGGGCCTCGGCGAGGGCTCCCCGTTCCTCACCCAGTGGAGACGCCAGAGTGCGGACGGGAGCTGGAGCGTGGTGAGTCCACGTGCGTGAGGGCGTGGCGCCGCGGTGGCTATGAGATGTTAACTCCCTCGCCTGGTATGCAAGAGGTCGTGGGTTCGATCCCAACCCTGACGCCTGCTGCTGTATATTTGGAGTTTGTCTCTCCCTGTGGTCGCGTGAATTTTTCTCCGGGTCCTCCGGTTTTTCCCTCCACGTGTATAATCAACATCACCACGCGATGAGAGTCGTTGCTCCTGCTGTAAATGTTCACGTGATAAGCAACTTCGTTGAGCTGTCACTTGTGGCCAGGTCGACTCTTAAAAAGTGCTGCGTAGCTCAGTGGGCGTTGCCTGGTAAAATATTTTTTTATTTTATTAATTCTAGTGATCATTGTGTGTGTATGCACATGGTGGGTGTACATGGTGAGTGTACATGGTGAGTTAGTGTGTGTACATGGTGAGTTAGTGTGTGTGTGTGTACATGGTGAGTTAGTGTGTGTACATGGTGGGTGTACATGGTGAGTGTACATGGTGAGTTAGTGTGTGTACATGGTGAGTTAGTGTGTGTGTGTGCATGGTGAGTTAGTGTGTGTGTGTACATGGTGAGTTAGTGTGTGTGTGTGTGTACATGGTGAGTTAGTGTGTGTGGGTTTTCATGGTGAGTTAGTGTGTGTGTGTGTACACGGTGAGTTAGTGTGTGTGTACGCGGTGAGTTAGTGTGTGTGTACATGGTGAGTTAGTGTGTGTGTGTACATGGTGAGTTAGTGTGTGTGTGTACATGGTGAGTTAGTGTGTGTGTGTGTACATGGTGAGTTAGTGTGTGTGTACATAGTGAGTTAGTGTGTGTGTGTACATGGTGAGTTAGTGTGTACATGGTGAGTTAGTGTGTTTGTGTACATGGTGAGTTAGTGTGTGTGTACACGGTGAGTTAGTGTGTGTGTACACGGTGAGTTAGTGTGTGTGTGTGTGTACATGGTGAGTTAGTGTGTGTACATGGTGAGTTAGTGTGTGTGTGTACATGGTGAGTTAGTGTGTACATGGTGAGTTAGTGTGTACATGGTGAGTTAGTGTGTGTGGGTTTTCATGGTGAGTTAGTGTGTGGGTGTACACGGTGAGTTAGTGTGTGTGTACGCGGTGAGTTAGTGTGTGTGTACACGGTGAGTTAGTGTGTGTGTGTGTACATGGTGAGTTAGTGTGTGTGTGTACATGGTGAGTTAGTGTGTGTGTGTAATGGTGAGTTAGTGAGTGTGTGTACATGGTGAGTTAGTGTGTGTGTGTAATGGTGAGTTAGTGTGTGTGTGTACATGGTAAGTTAGTCTGTGTGTGTACATGGTGAGTTAGTGTGTGTGTGTAATGGTGAGTTAGTGTGTGTGTACATGGTGAGTTAGTGTGTGTGTACACGGTGAGTTAGTGTGTGTGTACACGGTGAGTTAGTGTGTGTGTGTACATGGTGAGTTAGTGTGTGTACATGGTGAGTTAGTGTGTGTGTGTACATGGTGAGTTAGTGTGTACATGGTGAGTTAGTGTGTACATGGTGAGTTAGTGTGTGTGGGTTTTCATGGTGAGTTAGTGTGTGTGTACACGGTGAGTTAGTGTGTGTGTACGCGGTGAGTTAGTGTGTGTGTGTGTGTACATGGTGAGTTAGTGTGTGTGTGTACATGGTGAGTTAGTGTGTGTGTGTAATGGTGAGTTAGTGAGTGTGTGTACATGGTGAGTTAGTGTGTGTGTGTAATGGTGAGTTAGTGTGTGTGTGTACATGGTAAGTTAGTGTGTGTGTGTACATGGTGAGTTAGTGTGTGTGTGTGTGTAATGGTGAGTTAGTGTGTGTGTACATGGTGAGTTAGTGTGTGTGTACATGGTGAGTTAGTGTGTGTGTACATGGTGAGTTAGTGTGTGTGTGTACATGGTGAGTTAGTGTGTGTGTGTAATGGTGAGTTAGTGTGTACATGGTGAGTTAGTGTGTGTGTGTACATGGTGAGTTAGTGTGTGTAATGGTGAGTTAGTGTGTGTGTGTACATGGTGATTTAGTGTGTGTGTGTAATGGTGAGTTAGTGTGTGTGTGTAATGGTGAGTTAGTGTGTGTGTACATGGTGAGTTAGTGTGTACATGGTGAGTTAGTGTGTGTGTGTGTACATGGTGAGTTAGTGTGTGTGTGTACATGGTGAGTTAGTGTGTACATGGTGAGTTAGTGTGTGTGTACATGGTGAGTTAGTGTGTACATGGTAAGTTAGTGTGTGTGTGTAATGGTGAGTTAGTGTGTGTGTGTGTACATGGTGAGTTAGTGTGTGTAATGGTGAGTTAGTGTGTGTGTGTATATATGGTGAGTTAGTGTGTGTGTGTAATAGTAAGTTTGTGTGTGTGTACATGGTGAGTTAGTGTGTGTGTGAACATGGTGAGTTAGTGTGTACATGGTGAGTTAGTGTGTGTGTGTACATGGTGAGTTAGTGTGTGTGTAATGGTGAGTTAGTGTGTACATGGTGAGTTAGTGTGTGTGTGTACATGGTGAGTTAGTGTGTGTGTGTAATGGTGAGTTAGTGTGTGTGTGTACATGGTGATTTAGTGTGTGTGTAATTGTGAGTTTGTGTGTGTGTACATGGTGAGTTAGTGTGTGTGTGTAATGTTGAGTTAGTGTGTGTGTGTGTAATGTTGAGTTAGTGTGTGTGTAATGGTAAGTTAGTGTGTGTGTGTACATGGTGAGTTAGTGTGTGTGTAATGGTGAGTTAGTGTGTGTGTATATGGTGAGTTAGTGTGTGTGTGTAATTGTGAGTTTTTGTGTGTGTACATGGTGAGTTAGTGTGTGTGTACATGGTGAGTTAGTGTGTACATGGTGAGTTAGTGTGTACATGGTGAGTTAGTGTGTGTGTACATGGTGAGTTAGTGTGTGTGTACATGGTGAGTTAGTGTGCGTGTACATGGTGAGTTAGTGTGTGTGTGTAATGGTGAGTTAGTGTGTGTGTACATGGTGAGTTAGTGTCTGTGTACACGGTGAGTTAGTGTGGGTGTGTGTAATGGTGAGTTAGTGTGTGTGTGTACATGGTGAGTTAGTGTGTGTGTGTGTACATGGTGGGTTAGTGTGTGTGTGTGTAATGGTCAGTTAGTGTGTGTGTGTAATGGTGAGTTTGTGTGTGTGTACATGGTGAGTTAGTGTGTACATGGTGAGTTAGTGTGTGTCTAATGGTGAGTTAGTGTGTTTGTAATGGTGAGTTTGTGTGTGTGTACATGGTGAGTTAGTGTGTACATGGTGAGTTAGTGTGTGTCTAATGGTGAGTTAGTGTGTGTGTAATGGTAAGTTTGTGTGTGTGTACATGGTGAGTTAGTGTGTGTGTGTAATGGTGAGTTAGTGTGTGTGTACGTGGTGAGTTAGTGTGTACATGGTGAGTTAGTGTGTGTGTGTACATGGTGAGTTAGTGTGTACATGGTGAGTTAGTGTGTGTGTACATGGTGAGTTAGTGTGTACATGGTGAGTTAGTGTGTGTGTACATGATGAGTTAGTGTGTGTGTAATGGTGAGCTAGTGTGTGTGTACATGGTGAGTTAGTGTGTGTGTACATGGTGAGTTAGTGTGTGTGAAATGGTGAGTTAGTGTGTGTGTACATGGTGAGTTAGTGTGTGTGTACATGGTGAGTTAGTGTGTGTGTGTAATGGTGAGTTAGTGTGTGTGTGTAATGGTGAGTTGGTGTGTGTGTACATGGTGAGTTAGTGTGTACATGGTGAGTTAGTGTGTGTCTAATGGTGAGTTAGTGTGTGTGTAATGGTAAGTTTGTGTGTGTGTACATGGTGAGTTAGTGTGTGTGTGTGTAATGGTGAGTTAGTGTGTGTGTGTACGTGGTGAGTTAGTGTGTACATGGTGAGTTAGTGTGTGTGTACATGGTGAGTTAGTGTGTACATGGTGAGTTAGTGTGTGTGTACATGGTGAGTTAGTGTGTGTGTAATGGTGAGCTAGTGTGTGTGTACATGGTGAGTTAGTGTGTGTGTACATGGTGAGTTAGTGTGTGTGAAATGGTGAGTTAGTGTGTGTGTACATGGTGAGTTAGTGTGTGTGTACATGGTGAGTTAGTGTGTGTGTGTAATGGTGAGTTAGTGTGTGTGTGTGTAATGGTGAGTTAGTGTGTACATGGTGAGTTAGTGTGTGTGTGTAATGGTGAGTTAGTGTGTGTGTGTGTGTAATGGTGCGTTGGTGTGTGTGTACATGGTGAGTTAGTGTGTACATGGTGAGTTAGTGTGTGTACATGGTGAGTGTACATGGTGAGTTAGTGTGTACATGGTGAGTTAGTGTGTGTGTAATGGTGAGTTAGTGTGTGTGTAATGGTGAGTTTGTGTGTGCATGTATATGGTGAGTTAGTGTGTGTGTACATGGTGAGTTAGTGTGTGTGTGTACATGGTGAGTTAGTGTGTACATGGTGAGTTAGTGTGTACATGGTGAGTTAGTGTGTGTGGGTTTTCATGGTGAGTTAGTGTGTGTGTGTACACGGTGAGTTAGTGTGTGTGTACGCGGTGAGTTAGTGTGTGTGTGTGTACATGGTGAGTTAGTGTGTGTGTGTACATGGTGAGTTAGTGTGTGTGTGTAATGGTGAGTTAGTGAGTGTGTGTACATGGTGAGTTAGTGTGTGTGTGTGTGTGTGTAATGGTGAGTTAGTGTGTGTGTACATGGTGAGTTAGTGTGTGTGTACATGGTGAGTTAGTGTGTGTGTGTAATGGTGAGTTTGTGTGTGTGTGTACATGGTGAGTTAGTGTGTGTGTGTACATGGTGAGTTAGTGTGTGTGTACATGGTGAGTTAGTGTGTGTGTGTGTGCATGGTGAGTTAGTGTGTGTGTACATGGTGAGTTAGTGTGTGTGTAATGGTGAGTTAGTGTGTGTGTAATGGTGAGTTAGTGTGTGTGTAATGGTGAGTTAGTGTGTGTGTAATGGTGAGTTAGTGTGTGTGTGTGTGTAATGGTGAGTTAGTGTGTGTGTAATGGTGAGTTAATGTGTGTGTGTGTACATAGTGAGTTAGTGTGTGTGTGTACATGGTGAGTTAGTGTGTGTGTAATGGTGAGTTAGTGTGTGTGTGTACATAGTGAGTTAGTGTGTGTGTGTGTGTAATGGTGAGTTAGTGTGTGTGTAATGGTGAGTTAATGTGTGTGTGTGTGTACATAGTGAGTTAGTGTGTGTGTGTACATGGTGAGTTAGTGTGTGTGTAATGGTGAGTTAGTGTGTGTGTGTACATAGTGAGTTAGTGTGTGTGTGTACATGGTGAGTTAGTGTGTGTAATGGTGAGTTAGTGTGTGTGTAATGGTGAGTTAGTGTGTGTGTGAGTGTACATGGTGAGTGTACATGGTGAGTTAGTGTGTGTGTAATGGTGAGTTAGTGTGTGTGTGTGCATGGTGAGTGTACATGGTGAGTGTGGATGGTGAGTGTACATGGTGAGTGTACATGGTGAGTGTACATGGTGAGTGTGGATGGTGAGTGTACATGGTGAGTGTGGATGGTGAGGCCACACGGGCGACCTTTGTCTTCGCGTGCTGAGATCGCGGCTCGCAGCTCTGGGGACTCGACCCCTCCCCCCAGCTGGTTCTCGTGGGGTGAAGGCGGCTCCATGGAGCTGCTCGCCGTGGAGGCGGCGAGAGACTCGGGCAGCTACTTGTGCTTCGTCTTGTCCCGCGCAGACTCCATCCCTGGGGAGGCGGCGCTCAGCCTCTCCGTGTTTGGTGACCATCGAGAGGAGCGGCAGCAGCATCGTCATCCTGCACTTCATCATTACAGCCATCGTTTTCATCTATCACCATCCTCATCACGATCATCATGACCCCCCCCCCCCCCACAAAAAAATCTCAATTTGAAAACGAATTTCTTGCCTAAAATATTTAAAAATTCACCAAAAGATGGGATGGACTTTTTTATTTTATTTTTTACAATAATGTCTAATAATGTATTTATTACATTGCTCTGTTTTTCTTTTTTACTTTTTCTTGTTTCATTGTATGTAATGGCAGGGATTAGGGATTACAAAAGTACAACCATCACCACAATCGTATAAACAGAAATCTATGCATTGTTATATCAAGTCCAGATATTGTGGCCAAGGTTTAGCAAATTGTTGTTTTTATTTACATCGCATAGCAATTATTATTTTTAAATATTATTGATAGCAATATATTGGGGGGGACATTTTGAGCATATTTGAATATTGGGGGGGATGTGTCCCCCAATATATATTATAATTACGGCCTTGATTCACTTCTTCACCATTTCGCATTTATGATCACCATTTAATTATCATCATACACTTTAACATTCTCATCATCACCATCTACTTCATCACCATCATGATCATTATCATATCAATAATCTCAATCCATTCCATCACCATTTCCATCATTTATCACCATTGTCAACATCATCATCAATATCATCACCACCATACGCTTGATCAATCATTCTCAATATCAACATCGCCCCCCCCCCCCCCACAGAGTACCCCACCTCCCCCTCGTGTGCCGCGCTCAAGCCGGAAGACGGCGAGGAAGTCGCGGCTGTGATGGAGGTCACCCTGGAGTGCAGAGGCTCCACCGGGACTCCCCCCGTCTCCTACTCATGGCAGCGCACAGATGGGGGGGAGCAGCCGTACATTTGTAAATCAGGTGAGTGAGGGAGGGGGGATTACGAGGTTCAGAGCCCCCCCCCCTTCCCCCCCACCATCAAATCATTATAGTGCAGGTTCGAGGCCAGGTATGGGGCTCCGTGGATCATCCTGTATGGGAGTTCCACAGGTTGCTTGTCTTGAACCAGTGCTGCTGATTTCAGACGCACTCGCGGAAGGCCGTGTGGCTGATGAGGTCGCAGCCTCACGGAGGTCGAAGGTGTTGGGCACTGACCGAACTCGAGAGCTCATTGTCCACTTGGGCCGCTGCACATTTCGTTATTCTAAAGACAATTTGACAGTGGACCCGGCTAGGGCCATCCATGGGGGGGGGGGGGGGGGGGGGGGGGGGGGGGGGGTTGGGGGGATGCGCGGCCCGGGGCAAATCACCCCGTGTGAGCCCCCTGGCGAATTCAAACTAAACCGGAGGTATTGCATCTGACACCGTGACGTCGAAGTTGCGGGGCACTCCCAAGCACGGGGCCTGGGGCGGTCGCCCCGATTCGCCCGTACCCTAGGGACGGCTTTGGTTGTACCGTGAGTAGGAAGATTCAATGGGGGTTCACCGTGTGTGATCCATGTGCATGTGTGTCCGTGTCTAGGATCGAGCGTTTGCGAGCGGTCCGTCTCACCTGCGGATCGTAACTCCACCTACATGTGCACGGCGCGGAACCCGGTGGGAGCCGAGTTCTGCCACGTGATGGTGCACGCCGCGTCCCGGCCAGAGAAACACATCGGTTCGACTCCAGTTATGGGCGCTGGCGCGGGTTTCTGTGAATGAGCACTCGTGGGCAGTGGTGGCGCCGCGGTGGCTATGATATGTTAACTACCTCGCCTGGTATACAGGAGGTCGTGGGTTCGATGCTATTTAACTCAGCGGGCCTCACCTGGTAAAATAAAAAATCGTTTAGTTTATAGTACATCGCACTGCACTGTGAACGTTACGTGTGGTGTGTGTACCTAGTGGTGTGTGTGTGTGTACCTCGTGGTGTGTGTGTGTACCTCGTGGTGTGTGTGTGTACCTAGTGGTGTGTGTGTGTACCTAGTGGTGTGTGTGTACCTAGTGGTGTGTGTGTGTACCGAGTGGTGTGTGTACCTAGTGGTGTGTGTGTGTGTGTACCTAGTGGTGTGTGTGTGTGTACCTAGTGGTGTGTGTGTGTGTACCTAGTGGTGTGTGTACCTAGTGGTGTGTGTGTGTACCTAGTGGTGTGTGTGTGTGTGTACCTAGTGGTGTGTGTGTACCTAGTGGTGTGTGTTTGTACCTAGTGGTGTGTGTGTACCTAGTGGTGTGTGTGTACCTAGTGGTGTGTGTGTACCTAGTGGTGTGTTTGTACCTAGTGGTGTGTGTGTGTACCTAGTGGTGTGTGTGTACCTAGTGGTGTGTGTGTGTACCTAGTGGTGTGTGTACCTAGTGGTGTGTGTGTCCGGCAAAACAACCCCCTACCTCCTCACGGTGCCGGACGGGCAACTCTGGCGTGGACAGTGCTGTGGGGGGAGGGCCAATTCCGATTGGCTCCCCCCCTCATGGCGTGCGTGACCACCACAGGGGCTAAACGGGGGCTCTGGACGGGTGCGAGGGGCTGGTAACCCCTCCACCTTCAAAAATTTACCACTAAACCACGACAGAAATATGTAACTAATAAGCTTGTGCCGGAGGCCCCGGGGGGACAGGCGTCTATGACGTCTCCTGGCCAAACCCCAATTGGCGGAGCCAGGAGATTGAATTTCTACCCACGGGGCTCCTCCAGAAACAGCGAAAAGCCACTTCGTGTGGCCACGTGGAATGTTCGAATGCCCACTGCAGAGGAGAGGCTGCCACTCCTCTGTCGGGAGCTGGACCGGTACCGCCTGAATCTCTGTGGCATTCAGGAGGTCCGGTGGACCGGTTCTGCCTCCTGCCACCATGAGGGGTGGACAGTCCTCTACTCGGGGCAGCAGACTGCCAAACAACAGGGTGTGGCTCTTCTTTTGAACAAAAGAATGAAGGGGGCGTGGGAGCGTGGCGGTGAGATGTGGGAAGCTGTAAGCCCCAGGCTACTTTGGGCTCGCCTTCCCATCAACCGGAGGCGAGGAGTGGTGGTCGTGGTTACTTATGCCCCCAGCGAAGACGAACATCCGTGGAGGGATGCAGGCAAAGCCGATGAGTCAGATGCCTTCGATGACCTCCTGTCACAGGTGCTGGCTAAAGTGGCCCCTCGGGATAGAGTCATCTTGTTGGGTGACTTCAATGCCCGAGTTGGTCATGATGCTGGCACCTGGTCTGGAGTGATTGGAGGACATGGGCCAGATCAGCTCAATAACAACGGTAGGAGGCTGCTAGATTTTTGTGCAGCCCATGGGCTTGTAATTACCAACACGCTGTTCCGGTGTCGGCGCATCCACACAACATCATGGATGCATGCCGGGTCCAAGCAAGAACATCTGCTGGACTACATAGCGACAAACCAGCGGATGCGAGCCCATGTCCTTGACACCAGGACCTACCGTGGAGCTGATCTGCCCTCTGACCATCGACTAGTCATCTGTAAGATGCGCCTGCCATTCTTCCACTCCGGTGGTGGGTGTGCACCCAGGACCCCATTCCAACCTAAAGTGGCCTGGTCTCAGTTATCTGATGAAAGTTGCAAGCGAGAATTTCATCATCGCTTGCGGCTTGGGTTGGCATCGTCCCCCACTCTTCCTGATGTCGAGGGTAAATGGGCGAGGTTTAGGACTGTGACTCATGCAGCTGCAATGGCTGCTTTGGGTACGCGGTCCAGACCTCCCCAGAGACCCTGGCTGACAGAGGAGGTGTTCAGGATGGTTGAGAAAAAGCGACAGGCCCACTGTCATTGGCTACAGAATCCCACGTCAGAGAATGAGGACGCTTAACACAGCCTTCGCTCGGAGGTTCGGAGAGCCGTGAGGCGCTGCAAGGATGGGTGGTGGTCGTGGGTTGCTGAGGAGATGGAGTCTGCCTCAGTGGCCCGCGATCACAAATCTCTATTTAACTCCATCAAAAAAGTAACCTGCAGTGCCACACCTATTACCATCATTAGGGGAAAAAAACGGTGATCCAATCTCCGACCCCCAGGAACAGGTTTGCAGATTTGCTGAGCATTTCTGTGAGGTCCTGGGGGAGTGAAAATCGCCAGGAAAATATCGTGGCACAAAGTGAGGATGACCCTGCTGAGTCTGCGGTGCCTCAAATATTGGAAGAAGTCACCCCCTGTGAGTGGCTGGCTGAAGTGCCATCTGTTGAGGAAGTACTGAAGGCGATCCGGAGTCTGAGACCAGGAATGGCAGCAGGCAGAGATGATCTCCCAAGCAAAATGCTGAGGGAGGGTGGCGTTTATGCACAGACTGCCCTATATGACATCATGACAACAGTCTGGACCACTGGACGGGTTCCGCAGGATTGGAAGGATGCCCTGGTGGTCGCCCTCTTTAAGAAGGGGGACCGCACAGACTGTAAGAACTACAGGTGCATCTCACTCCTCAGTGTGCCGGGAAAGGTCCTGGCAAGGATTATTCAACATCGCCTTGCCAGGCACGCTGAGGAGAGGCTTGCGGAGCCCCAATGCGGTCTCAGGAAAGAGCGGTCCTACACAGATGCCATATTTTCTGTCCGTTTGCTACAGCAGAGGTATAGGGAATTCCAGCAAGACCTACATCTCTGCTTTATTGACCTGGTCAAGGCCTAGGATACCATCAGTAGGCCTGGGCTCTGGGTTGTTCTTCGTGCTTTTGGAGTACCTGACCCTCTGCTCACGATCATTAAGGACCTTCATGATGGTGAGTGGGCCCGGGTAAAACTACGTGGCCGGGAGTCAGAGCCATTCCCTGTACACCTTGGGGTGCGACAGGGATGTCCTCTGGCTCCCACATTGTTTAATATCTATTTTGACCACGTAGTTCGTGAAGCCTTCAATAGCTGTACCGGGGGAATCTCCATATGATACAGATATAATGGGAGGCTGATCGATGCACGGGTGCGGTCAAGGGATGGCTCCCTATTGCTCAACCACGTTATGTATGCCGATGATTTGGTAATAGCTGCTCATTCAGAGGAGGAATTGGAGACGCTGCTGCTGAGACTGGAGCGTGCTACTAAGAGATGGGGCCTTACCATCAGCCCCACCAAAACTAAGCACCTGCCTGGGTATTATATACCATCGGACACTCCACCCCCACAACTCCCAATCGGTGCTGGGGCAGTTGTGGAGAAAGTAGAGAGTTTCCCATACCTGGGCAGTGTGCTTATGACTGGCTCCAGTTTAACAGCAGAGGTCTCACTCCGAATCAGTCGAGCGGCAATATCTTTTCATCGGTTGCGTAACGCTGTGTGGAAGCTACCTGGTCTGTCACTCCGCACTAAGCTTCAGGTCTTCTCGGCCACGGTCATTCCCTCCTTTCTCTACGCTTGCGAAACGTGGACCGCCCAAATGGAACATCTTCGCTGGTTAGAAACATTTAGGCTGGCCTTCCTACGATCCATCCTGGGTTTAACCAGGCTGGATTGTGTGAGGAGCTCACAAATCCTTGAAATATCTGGGCAAGGTCCCATCGGTGAGCTCCTCCGGCAGGCAAGGCTGCGTTGGCTGGGTCATGTAGCCCGCATGCCCAGCCACCGCATGTCGAAACAGCTTTTGTTCGGCCGGATCGAGGGGGCTAAACGGGCGCGGCACGGGCTAGAGAAGAGATGGAGTGATGTGGTACAGGAGGACGTGGAGCTGAGTGGACTTGCCGATGACTGGTACCAGCGGTGTCAAGATCGGCCTCTGTGGAGGAGGCTCGTGAAGGACGCTACTGGGTAGTTGGTGGCAGTGCCCCTCCAACAACAACGGAGGGCAGAGGAGCGACGCTCACAACAACGAGCGGAGCGCCGGGTGGCTAAAGTACAGCAGGTTGGCAAAGTAGGGGCACGGGTGGTGCATCAGCCAGTCATCTCAGTCAGTCGACCCGTGGCACCTGGGTCTGCCCCGTGACCTCCTGCCAGCGGGTGTTCGACACTTCACGTGGCCTCAAGGTGCACATGGCCTGGCACAAGCGTCGTGGTGACGTCACCGCCACTTAGTGGTGAATGGCGGTTGTTGTTGTTGTGTGTGTGTACCTAGTGGTGTGTTTGTGTGTACCTAGTGGTGTGTGTGTATGTGTACCTCGTGGTGTGTGTAGCGGTAGTGTAGTGGTTAGCGCGCTGCGCTATGAACCTGGCGACTTGGGTTCGATTCCCGCTCACGGCCAACACCAGTGACGATTATTTGAACCGGTCATGGGCCTCTCCTAGGTCGACTCAGCCTCAAATGAGTACCTGGTGCGATGTGTAAGCATCGCCACTGGGGAGACAAAGGCGGTCGGGCGTGGTGCTGGCCACCTACCCCCTCGTGTACCGTCCCGGCCTTCGTAGGTGCTACTCGCTAAGCACTTGCCCCAAAAAGTATGTCGAGACTGTATGGGGGATCTTTGTTGTTTGTGTGTGATCGCAGAGAGGAGCACGTTCACCATTGTGGTGACAATCCTGGCATTCCTCTTGATGTTGGCGATCGTCCTCGCGGTGACACTGTGGTGGCGCGGAGGCCAGGCCGGGAAATGCTGAGCCCAGCACTCCACCACGCGGCCCTCCTCGCAGACAGACAGACAGACACAGGCAGACAGGCAGACACACAGACAGACAGACGCTCGACCATTGGCCCGGCAAGAAAAAAAATATCCCAATGAAAACTTCGGGCAATCGTTTGTGACACGGTGGTGAGACCACGTGTCCCGCTGTGTATTTGGAGTTTGCGTGTCTCTCTCTCTCCCCGTGGTCGCGTGGATTGTTCTCTGGGTCCTTCGTGCGTTTAGAGTGTTTGACTGCGAGGGACTTCCACGTGACCATAAACCGCTTCGTTGAGCTCTCATTTGTGACAGCCTGGTGGCTTCTGAGAAAGAGCTACAGAGCTCAGTGGGTCTTACCTGGTGAAATAAAACTCTTAAAGAAATGTTCGTGACTTACGCTTGGTTAAACCAAAACACAGCCATAAACATCCCGGTGATTTACAGAACTCGCACCGCGTCTCACACACTCGCAGGGCGACGACGCGCGGGTTCGTCCTGTTTGTTTTATAGATTAAAGTGCTGTTTGCTTGAACTGTGATTGCTCTCTCACACGAGGGTGTCAATGTCGCTACACTTGACATCCATCGCGACGTCCAGGCTCACGTCACCTGTCATCTAGCAGCACTCCACAGGAACGGCTCTCCACTAGGAAAACACGTGTCTCTCTCGTGTCTCTCATGTCTATGGGGTAGTGTAGGGGGGAAGAGTGGAGGGCGGGAAAGTGGGAGGGTGGGGGGAGTGGAAGAGGGGGGAGAGTGCGGGGGGGGGGGGGAGTGCGGGGGGGGGAGTGTTGGGGGGAGAGTGCGGGGGGGTGGTGGGAGTGCGGGGGGGGGGGAGTGCGGGGGGGGGAGAGTGCGGGGGGGGGGGGAGTGGAGGGGGGGGGGAAGAGTGGAGGGGGGGGGGAGAGTGGAGGGGGGGGGGAAGAGTGGAGGGGGGGGGGGAAGAGTGGAGGGGGAGAGTGGAGGGGGGGGGGTCTCACGCAGGTAACGAGGCGTGCGGTCTGGTGCCACTGAGCCCCCCAGAGGGGCCCAAGACGCGAGCGAGGGTGTGAAGTGTGAAGGGGTTAATGAGGAATGGCTGCCGTTTCTAGATTTAAAGCTTTCGTGACTGCAAGGATCCATACTCTTTGGTTCTATTGGGTAAAGTCACGTAGGTAAAAAATAAAATAACAAAAATCACGACGTTTCGACCACAACACAAGTGGCCTTCATCAGGTGAAGGGACCAACCTGTCCGGAGGACAGCGTTGGAGTGAAAAAAGTCAAGCGCAGGTCGCCTCCTTTAAGCTGTGAGTGGGTAAACAGAAACGACGCCTTGACAAAGGAATTAGCATAAAATATAAAGCTGTGCAAGCTCGCAAATAGCATAAAAAATACATTAGCACCACCGTGAGAGTTTGGGATGCCACTAATTGAATGAATATGCTGTACCATTAAACATTCCTTTAACGTTTGGTTCGATTTAGAACATCTTTCCAATGGTTGCTTAATTTGAAGCCATCTTCTCGGTTGAAATTGTGTCTGTTTGTAGATCTGGATTGCCTCGTGAACAAATCTCTGATAAAAACCCGTGGGTTTGCAAAGAATCTTAGTATCGGAGAAAATTATATCGTGATCACCCACAACGTTGTAACAATGATCAGTTACGGCAGAAGAATTCGTTTTGCCGTGTTTCAAATCGTAGCGCAGCGCGCTCGCCACTGCTCCGCCACTCTCCAGGTGGTCACGGATAACAGCAGGAAGTGGCCATAGTCGGTGGTTTGGGATGCGTGTGCCGCGCATACCCGGGGAGATGAGGCGGGGTGAGCCCACAGATATTCACCACTCCGCCACATCTCCCTTCGCGGTAGGGGGGTGGGGCAGGGGGGGTGGGGCAGGGGGATGAACCGGCGGCCTCTGGATCGCACGTCGGGTGTGGATGGCCACTTACATCGCTACCGCGGCTGTAAGGCTGCACACGTGATGATGATTATTATTATTGCAACAGGCATTTGTGTCACGTGTGGGTTGGGCAACGGGTTTTACCGGACTTTTCAAGACGGTTATGCAAAAAAATGTGTTTCAATAACCTTGGCTGAGAATAACGACGGAGCGGCAGTCAAAGGTGTGAAACGCGCCCAAGAAGACCTCAAGCGCCGTGGTGGCGAGACGTTAACTACCTCGCCCGCTACACCACACGAGGCCGTGAGCTCGACTCCGACCCTGACGCCTGCTGCTGTATATTTGGAGTTTGAAAATTCTCCCCGTGGTCGCGTGGATTTTTATCCGGGTCCTCCGATTTCCCCCCCCCCCCAATTAGAATCGAATTCACGCGTTTCGAGTATTTTGCTGCTCGACATTTCCACGTGATGACCAGCCGCTTTGTTGAGCTACCATTTGTGACAGCCAGGTCTTACCTGGTAAAATAAAAAAAAAGTTTAGTTTAGCGACGGTCTGGAGGAAATACACGAGTCCTTCATTCATTGCTGTGACGTCACCAGGTAAGATGCGCGTGACGTCATGTGGATTAAGACGCGCGTAACATCACTGAGTACGATGCGCGTGACGTCACCAGGTGAGCGGGATGCGCGTGACGTCACAGGACGAGCGAGATGCGCATGACGTCACCAGGTGAGCGAGGTGCGCGTGACGTCACCAGGTGAGCGGGATGCGCGTGACGTCACAGGGCGAGCGAGATGCGCATGACGTCACCAGGTGAGCGAGGTGCGCGTGACGTCATCAGGTGAGCGAGATGCGCGTGACGTCACCAGGTGAGCGGGATGCGCGTGACGTCACCAGGTGAGCGGGATGCGCGTGACGTCACCAGGTGAGCGAGATGCGCGTGACGTCACCAGGTGAGCGGGATGCGCGTGACGTCACCAGGTAAGCGAGATGTGCATGACGTCACCAGGCGAGATTTAGATGGGCGTGACGTCACATCCCGTGACATCCAGGTGAGGTGTGGACTGGTAGAGAGAACAACAGAAGGGAGAGAGGCGAGCAGATCCAGGTGAGCTCACACGCAGGTGTAGCGTGCCATCACCATTATCGTCGTCGTCTGCTAGGGTAAATACATTACTGGACGAGGGGATAACTTGACCATACTTCATCGCGGTGGTGATGGCGGAGAGCGCAGACGTCGAGGCGCAGTCACAGCCATCGCCACCACCACGGTCCACGGCTTCCTCCCCAGGCCAGCCGCCTCGCGGCACGATCCAGCGATGCCACAACAAAACTCCTCTGTTCGCGAGCTGACCCTCATACTCGCTCCATCTCCGCGGTGTACGCTCCCCCTCTGAGGCCTCAGTCCCTACCCTGGCTCCTAGCCGTGACGCGCGCTGCCCGAGCTCACGGAGCGGTCCGAGTGGCGTCTCGACCCCGCGTGCTCCCGGCTCGCAGTCTCCCTCCCAGCGTGCATCTCCCCAGGCTGCTCCGCGCACTTTTAAATGTCGTTGTGCGCGCGTGTGTTTGGTATCGAGGTGAGATGCACGTAAGAGCTCATGCTTGTGAGTACTGTACTTAACTTGGGTGAGAATGAGGTCCAGGTGAGATCGTATCCAGGTGAGATTGAACTCCAGGTGAGATTGAACTCCAAGTGGGATTGTATCCAGGTGAGATTGAACTCCAGGTGAGATTGAGATCAAGATGCGATTGAACTCTAGGTGAGATAGTATCCAGGTGAGATTGAGATCAAGATGCGATTGAACTCTAGGTGAGATAGTATCCAGGTGAGATTGAACGCCAGGTGAGATTGAGATCAAGATGCGATTGAACTCTATGTGAGATAGTATCCAGGTGAGATTGAACGCCAGGTGAGATTTAGATCAAGGTGACATATCCAGGTGAGATGGAGATCAAGGTGAGATCGTATTCTAACTCGGGTGGCCGGCTTGGTCGTGGTAGTAATGTACTGTAATGGCTGTGATGGTGGTGATGCTGCTACTGATGATGCTGAGAGTAATATCTGTGATGGTGGTGGCCGATTGTGGACGTTTGATCCAGGTGAGTGTTTGACCCAGGTGAGTTCTGATCCAGGTGAGGGCTGACCCTATCTCAAGTGGCCATGTTGATGGTGGAGCGTAATGCAATGAATGGATGTGGTGGTGATGATGATGCTGCTGATGACGAACATATTGGTGATCCTGATAGTCACTAATCATGGTGGAGGTGGGATCCAGGTGAATTGTGACAACGGGTGAATCATCGTTATTATTAGTAGTTATAATGCATTAGCACCTAGATGTTTTAAATCCAGATGATGTGGTGCAGGTGAGGTCTTATACAGGTGTGCAGCAGGATCCTGGTGAGGGTTTTTGCGGGCGGGTCGGCCTGGTCTGCCGTGAGTGACTTCTGCACTGCACCACACCTGGCGCGCACTCACCTGCACATGGAGGAGATGGTGAGACATCTGATCACCTGCTGGGTCGTCACGGTGGCCGTGCTAGGTGAGCCACGCATGCTGCTTCCCACAGGGTAACATCACCGTCTACATCACTGCCATCATCACCATCACCATTAGCTATCATCAACAGTATCGTTAACAGAGTAATTCCCATCAATTTCCTCGCTATTAATATCACCAGCAGCACAATGCGTAATAGGTATCATGCCCATCATCATAATGTGTATCAGTAACTACAGCATTGCCATAATTTCCATAATCATCATCATCAGAAGCAGCTTGAACTCATTACCACCATCACATTCACCATCACCACCATTTCCTTGCACACCTTCACTACCATTGTCATCAGCAGCATAATTTCTATCATCATCGGACCTCAAAATATTATAATAGGATTTACCCTTTCTGGCAATAAAACAGTTGTGTTAACAGCAAACTGAAACTTCTTGGTTAATGCAGACACGATTATTTGCAACTTTTTTATTGCCAGAAAGGGTAAACCCTATTCTTATACCATCATCCTCATCGTCGGTATCTCTCCCATATCTCTACCCCCCCCCCCATGTCTCTACCCCCCCCATGTCTCTACCCCCCCCCCCATGTCTCTACCCCCCCCATGTCTCTACCCTCCCCCCATGTCTCTACCCCCCCCATGTCTCTACCCCCCATGTCTCTACCCCCCCCCATGTCTCTACCCCCCCCCCATGTCTCTACCCCCAACCATGTCTCTACCCCCCCCCTCCCCATGTCTCTACCCCCCCCATGTCTCTACCCCCCCATGTCTCTACCCTCCCCCATGTCTCTACCCCCCCCCCCCCATGTCTCTACCCCCCCCCTCCCCATGTCTCTACCCCCCCATGTCTCTACCCCCCCATGTCTCTACCCCCCCCATGTCTCTACCCCCCCCATGTCTCTACCCCCCCATGTCTCTACCCCCCCCCATGTCTCTACCCCCCCCCCCCCATGTCTCTACCCCCCCATGTCTCTACCCCCCTCCATGTCTCTACCCCCCCCCGTGTCTCTACCCCCCCCATGTCTCTACCCCCCCATGTCTCTACCCCCCCCATGTCTCTACCCCCCCCCCCATGTCTCTACCCCCCCCCATGTCTCTACCCCCCCCATGTCTCTACCCCCCCCATGTCTCTACCCCCCCATGTATCTACACCCCCCATGTCTCTACCCCCCCTCCCCATGTCTCTACCCCCCCCCCCCCATGTCTCTACCCCCCCTCCCCATGTCTCTACCCCCCCCTCCCCATGTCTCTACCCCCCCCCATGTCTCTACCCCCCCCATGTCTCTACCCCCCCATGTCTCTACCCCCCCCCCCATGTCTCTACCCCCCCCATGTCTCTACCCCCCATGTCTCTAACCCCCCTCCATGTCTCTACCCCCCCCCCGTGTCTCTACCCCCCCATGTCTCTACCCCCCCCATGTCTCTACCCCCCATGTCTCTACCCCCCCATGTCTCTACCCCCCCCCCATGTCTCTACCCCCCCCCATGTCTCTACCCCCCCATGTCTCTACCCCCCCCATGTCTCTACCCCCCCCCGTGTCTCTACCCCCCCCATGTCTCTACCCCCCCCATGTCTCTACCCCCCCCCCATGTCTCTACCACCCCCATGTCTCTACCCCCCCCCCCCATGTCTCTATCCCCCCATGTCTCTACCCCCCCCATGTTCTCGACCCCCCCCCCCCATGTCTCTACCCCCCCATGTCTCTACCCCCCTCCCCATGTCTCTACCCCCCCCATGTCTCTACCCCCATGTCTCTCCCCCCCCCCCCCATGTCTCTACCCCCCCATGTCTCTACCCCCCCATGTCTCTAACCCCCCCCTCCCCATGTCTCTACCCCCCCATGTCTCTACCCCCCATGTCTCTACCCCCTCCCATTGTCTCTACCCCCCATGTCTCTACCCCCCATGTCTCTACCCCCCCATGTCTCTACCCCCCCCATGTCTCTACCCCCCCCCCCCATGTCTCTACCCCCCCCATGTCTCTACCCCCCCATGTCTCTACCCCCTCCCCATGTCTCTACCACCCCCCATGTCTCTACCCCCCCATGTCTACTACCCCCCCATGTCTCTACCCCCCCATGTCTCTACCCCCCCCCATGTCTCTACCCCCCCATGTCTCTACCCCCCCCCATGTCTCTACCCCCCCCCTCCCCATGTCTCTACCCCCCCCATGTCTCTACCCCCCCATGTCTCTACCCCCTCCCCATGTCTCTACCCCCCCCATGTCTCTACCCCCCCCATGTCTCTACCCCCCCCCCCATGTCTCTACCCCCCCCATGTCTCTACACCACCCATGTCTCTACCCCCCTCCCCATGTCTCTACCCCCCCATGTCTCTACCCCCCATGTCTCTACCCCCCCCCATGTCTCTACCCCCCCCATGTCTCTACCCCCCCATGTCTCTACCCCCCATGTCTCTACTCCCCCCCCATGTCTCTACCCCCATGTCTCTACCCCCTCCCATGTCTCTACCCCCCCTGTCTCTACCCCCCCATGTCTCTACCCCCATGTCTCTACCCCCATGTCTCTACCCCCCCCCATGTCTCTACCCCCCCCCCCCATGTCTCTACCCCCTCCCCATGTCTCTACCCCCCCATGTCTCTACCCCCCCCATGTCTCTACCCCACCGATGTCTCTACCCCCCCACCATGTCTCTACCCCCAACCATGTCTCTACCCCCCCCCCCCATGTCTCTACCCCCCCCCTCCCCATGTCTCTACCCCCCCTCCCATGTCTCTACCCCCCATGTCTCTACCCCCCCATGTCTCTACCCCCCCCATGTCTCTACCCCCCCATGTCTCTACCCCCTCCCCATGTCTCTACCGCCCCCCCCATGTCTTTACCCCCCTCCCCATGTCTCTACCACCCCCCCCCCATGTCTCTACCCCCATGTCTCTACCCCCCCCCCCCATGTCTCTACACCCCCCATGTCTCTACCCCCCCCATGTCTCTACCCCCCCATGTCTCTACCCCCCCCCCCCATGTCTCGACCCCCCCCATGTCTCTACCTCCCCCATGTCTCTACCCCCCCCCATGTCTCTACCCCCCATGTCTCATCCCCCCCCATGTCTCTACCCCCCTCCATGTCTCTACCCCCCTCCATGTCTCTACCCCCCCCATGTCTCTACCCCCCCCATGTCTCTACCCCCCCCATGTCTCTACCCCCCCCCCATTTCTCTACCCCCCCCATTTCTCTACCCCCCCCCATGTCTCTACCCCCCTCCATGTCTCTACCCCCCTCCATGTCTCTACCCCCCATGTATCTACCCCCCCCCATGTCTCTACCCCCTCCTCATGTCTCTACCCCCCCCCATGTCTCTACCCCCCCCCCATGTCTCTACCCCCCCCCATGTCTCTACCCCCCCATGTCTCTACCCCCCCCATGTCTCTACCCCCCCATATCTGTACCCCCCCCCCCCATGTCTCTACCCGCCCATGTCTCTACCCCCCCTCCCCATGTCTCTACCCCCCCCATGTCTTTACCCCCATGTCTCTACCCCCCCCCATGTCTCTACCCCCCATGTCTCTACCCCCCCTCATGTATCTACCCCCCCCCATGTCTCTACCCCCCCCATGTCTCTACCCCCTCCCCATGTCTCTACCCCCCCCCATGTCTCTACCCCCATGTCTCTACCCCCCCCCCCCATGTCTCTACCCCCCCATGTCTCTACCCCCCCTCATGTATCTACCCCCCCCCATGTCTCTACCCCCCCCATGTCTCTACCCCCATGTCTCTACCCCCCCCCATGTCTCTACCCCCCCATGTCTCTACCCCCCCCCCCCCCATGTCTCTACCCCCATGTCTCTACCCCCCCCCCCATGTCTCTACCCCCATGTCTCTACCCTCCCCCATGTCTCTACCCCCCCCATGTCTCTACCTCCCCCATGTCTCTACCCCCCATGTCTCTACCCCCCCCCCCCCATGTCTCTACCCCCACCCCCATGTCTCTACCCTCCCCATGTCTCTACCCCCACCTCTACCTCCCCCATGTCTCTACCCCCCCCCCCATGTCTCTACCCCCAACCATGTCTCTACCCCCCCCATGTCTCTACCCCCCTCCATGTCTCTACCCCCCCCATGTCTCTACCCCCCTCCATGTCTCTACCCCCCCCCATGTCTCTACCCCCCCCATGTCTCTACCCCCCCCATGTCTCTACCCCCCTGTTCCTATTCCCCATGTCCCTCCCCGCGCATCTCTCCAATCCCCCCCCCTCTCGCCGTCAGTATGCATCTCTCCCCCGCGCTGCGGGGACGCTGCCGCCTCTGGGCGCATGGTGCCCGTGAAGGAGCCCAGCTGGGCCGGCAACGTCCCCTGCTTCGCCTGCGAGCTGGAGGCCAACGAGACCTCCATGGTGTGGTGCGTGCGGCCACCCGGGGGAGGGGGGCATGGGGGGCGGTAGCTGTTGGCCAAGAAGACCGCCAGACACGCAGGCCCACAGTCGAACCCAGCCTCTTGAAGTGTGTGAGCCTTGCATAAGACGAGGAGTGTGACCGCGTCTCAAGGCGCTGAAAAGACACAGTGGGCGCTTTGTGTTGTTGGGGCATAGGTCTCTATGTGAGTCTATGGGTCTCTAATTTAATCTGTGGGTCTCGATGTGAGTCTGTGGGTCTCTAATTTAATCTGTGGGTCTCGATGTGAGTCTGTGGGTCTCTATGTGAGTCTGTGCTAAGAGCGACCTCTCGCTCAGCCCTCCCTCCCCCTCTCTCTCCTGGTCGCTAGGTGGGCCCTGGGGGACGAGGTGGTGTGCATGTGGCCGCCCGACCCCAACCCCGTGGCGACGACGCGCGTGTTGTGTCAGCACGGGCGCGCGCCGGCCACGGGGCTCGTGTCCACGTCGCTGTGCGTGCTGCACGCCGGGATGACCGACTTCGGGAACGGCGCCGCGGTGCGGTGCCAGGCGAGCGAGACGGCGAAACTCCGGAGCGTGCAGCTCAGGGCCAAGATGCGGGCCGGCTCTCGCAGTGAGTGACGGGGAGAGCACAGCGTGAGAGATGGAATACGTGAATGGGTGAGAGTGTACGTACGCGAGTGCGTGCGAGCACGGGCTCACCAACAGCACTTGTCCCAACAACAACAGCCTGTGAAAAGCGACGGGGATTTTCAGCTTTCTATGACATGTTTGTGTATGGCTAAGCACGTGTGATTATACACGTGTGCTTGTGTGTGGTTTTACAGGGGTGTGTGATTATACAGTTGTGTGTTATTATACAGGGGTGTGTTATTATACAGGTGTGTATGCAATAATACAGGTGTGTGTGTGTGTGTGGAATGATACAGTTGTGTGATTATCCGGTTGTGTGTGTGTGGAATGATCTCCCGTCCAAACAGGTTGGGTGAGTGGCGGTGCCAGTACTCCCAGAATGCACCAGGGCGCCCTGGCAGCCTGCGCAATGCTGGCGGCATCTCTGCTGGCATGTACGTGCGTGCCCACACACACACAGACAAAGATCCCCCGTATAGCCTTAACAGACTGTTGGGGTCACACACACACAGACAAAGATCCCCCGTATAGCCTTAACAGACTGTTGGGGTCACACACACACAGACAAAGATCCCCCGTATAGCCTTAACAGACTGTTGGGGTCACACACACACAGCTGTTAGCGAGTAGCACCCATGGCGGGAGTCGGTGGCCAACACCACGCCCACCCTCCCGCCTGAGGGGACCTAGAAAAGACCCAGGACCGGTTAAGATATTCATCACCGATGTTGGTGGCTGTGAGGGGGAATCGAACTCGGGTCGCCAGATTTGTAGCGCAGCGCCCAAACCGCTGCACCACCGCTCCTCACACACACCTATTTATCGTTTATTTGTATAGTATGAAGATGTGGGGAGCGGTAGTGTAGCGCTTTGTGTGTATATATAGATGCTTGTATATATTATATCATGTTATTCAACTGGTTCGTGTTACATAACCGGTTTTGGCATATATCGGAATGCGTGGAACAATAAACGGGGGGTTATCACCTCGTTAACTGGGAAACAAAGGCAGCCGCTGGCCCAGGTTAGCAGGGTGGTGGGGTAAAGTGTGGGTACGTTCACCTCTTCCAGTACGCCTGGGTCAGTGTGGAAGAGTAGGCCAATTACCACTCTCGGGCTCCCCCTGGCAGAGATCCCATTTCCGCCGGCGTGGCGTGAGTGCATCAGTTGCAGGGGCTGCGCCCTCTCCCGTAGATTTTTTTTTTTTATTTCAGCCGTGCGGTTTGTACGTCCACGCGCCCCAGTGGCAGCTGTCCCTGTGCGGCACAAGCCGACTCGATGCCTGGGCCTGCGAGCCGGCATCTGCCAGTAGGTGGCGATGCTCGCCGCCGCCGCCGCTGTGTGCGTGCTTGCGATCCCAAGGGAGCGATGTGCGGTGTCATTGTAATCCGATTTGGCAAATTTGCACCGCGACGTGGACACGCGATGATGGCCTCCTGCTCCTCGTTTCGACGTCGCGGGGATCTTTAACGTCCGCCGTGAGCGAAGCGGGCGGGGCGTGGTAGTGTACGGTCCATGCCGCACACGCCGCAGTGGTAACCAGGGCGGCCTGACGAATCACGGACGCGTTGCCGCTCAGCCGTGTCACCGCCCCCCAGAGTTAGAGGTTAGGGGTCAGCAGGCTTGGCATCTTAGCCGGGCGGTAGTGGTCGTGGCTATGCACGTGGCCTGTAGTCCAGCATCGTGGAGGTAGGAAGGGTTGGTGGATCACACAGAAATCCTGTGAAACTCCCTTCTCCTGATTGGGTGTCGAGGAGGTGCCATACCCTGGCTAGCCAGGAGAAGGCAGTAGAGCAAGTACCTGTGTCCACCTGTGTCCATCTGTACGGGGATAGAGTGGTGCCCCCTCGCGCAAGGCGTGGGTTTACTCCGGCCTGGAAGTATCCAAACATAAACACCCAATGTAGCAGCAGCAGCAGGACCCTCCTGAAAAAGAGCCATACTTCTCGGTGTGGTCCTGCTGGATCAATGCAGAATGATCGCTCTCATGATGGTATCGTCTCGTGTCCCGTGGTGACGGAGCGTGCCGAGGCCGGAGGCGGCAGTGCGGGGCTCAGCCACGGGGCGGCGCCGTGAGCGCGCGCATCGCCACGCGAGCTCGGTCGGAGCAGCAGGAGGAGGTGGGGGAGGGAGTGCACCAGTGGGTCCCTGCCACGTTTTAGCTCCGTTTACATGATCTGTTTTCCGTTTTACTTTGAATGCGGATGGGGAGGGTGGTGCTTGGCACAGCTGAAGCTTCTGGGCACCACTGCCTGCGCCGGTAACCGTAGCACGCGCGCGTGACGATGTGCGACGTCTGTGCCATGTACAGGACACTTGTGACACACGCGTGTCATCCTGCGTGACGCGCCTGTGACACGTGGCACCCTGTGTGACGCGCGCGTGACGATGGTGAACGTCTGTGCAGGATTGAGCTGGGATGTGGAAGACGAGGGAGGAGGAGGAAGAGGAGGTGACAGTCGCTCCCGGTGACTCCTCGGCCCCCCCTGCACATTGATCTGTTACTGAGCATTTCCTGCTTTTATCATCGTCACCTTCATCATCGCCAACACTCCAAGAGCCATCATGATTACCACTCTCAGTTCCATCATCACCGCCATCATTACACACATACACATACAAGTAAACAATTAAATATAGTAAAAAAACTTTTCAAGCGAGTCGTGGCTGTGAGTTGTTGTATGTCAGCATACAGAGAGACGTATGTTGAGTTGCTTTGGCTGTAGCTACTGCCGGAGTCACGCCGACTCCAGACACCAGCCATGAGTGCCACGGGTGCCCGGTGGGGCCGGCTGCTGTCTCCTCGCGCTTCTATTGGTCTCCTCTCCTCGCATCCACAGTCTCACAGCTCGCTCCCCGGCAGTCTCTCCCAGCCCTCGATCAGTCTCCCTCCTGCCTTGCACCAGTGGCGTCGCCATAGCCCTCCTAGCCAGCCGGTCTCTGTGCGAGTCCCTGGGTCTCTGTGGATCTATGCGTCTCGGTATGAGTATGCTCTCTGTGCGAGTCTCTGTGCGAGTCTGGGTATTGCTCCGAGTCTGTGGGTCTCTGAATCTCTGCAGCCCTTCGAACGCCACCGTTTGTGCCGCTTCTCATCTTTGTGCCCAAACCATCCGGGCCTTGCCCCCTTCCAGAATACGAGCGACTTGAGGCTTGGGCTCGATCCTCCGCGCTCCTTTCCCAGGGAGTTGCTTTGGGAGAGGCGACGCCCCAGGGTTGTGCCGCGAGCGTTCGATCGGCTCCTCACGCGAGTCTCGTACCACGTGAGCGAAGCCACTCGCGCATCTCGTTTTGTTCCACCGCACAACCGAGCCGGGCTGCGCCGGGGCCTGGGCGGCCCGGGAGGTCGCCGCTGTTGTTTTTTTTTGTTCTGCTGCGAAAGCCGAGCCGTGCCGCCGACGTCACGTGCGGTGAACGAGGCTGGGTCGCAACGTGGGACTGTGGTTGACCCTGGCCCTGCTTGGCCCCAAACTAGAAGCTAGATTCCGATGTATTATTACGAGGCGAGCGTATCACGGTTTTGTTCCGACTCCGCTCGGCAAAATAGCCGGTGGTAAAACCTCCCGTACCGTAAGCGTGCCAGTGTAAATGAAGGGGTATTGTAGCCGAGTGTCCGTGCCACTGCGATGCCACCATGATCGTGAGCTGCCTGGCCGGGGGGGACTCTGCCTCTCCAGTGCGGCTCGGTGGGGCTCCTTCGGTTGGGTGAGTGCGGTGGGGTTCTATGCCCCCCGTATTAAACAACAGTGGGCTCCCCGTGTGCCCCCCAGTTCAGGGGCGGCTCCTTGGGGCGACTGGGGAGGCGCCCGGGGTCGAGTGAAAGAGACCGTGGCGCACAGCGCCGGTGATGTAGCCATCGCGTCCTTCTGCCAAATCGCGCAGCGGTTGCACGGAGCTCGCTGGAGCTCCGGGGCCTGCTCGCTGGAGCTCCGGGGCCTGCTCGCTCGTCCGTGACGCACCGAGCTGCAGCTGCCGCACAGCCACAGCGGCTGTCCCGATGCACATGGCCTCGGAACGGCGGATTGCTGTTGGCCAGAGGACATTTGGATCGACCAGTGACTATGCCCACGTCACGTGCAACGGCGCAACTCTCGCGGCTTTCGTTCTCAAGTTCATATCCCGACACTCCACACCCCGCGTCACACCACAGCCCGCGTCACACCACAGCCCGCGTCACACCACAGCCCGCGTCACACCACACCCCGCGTCACACCACACCCCGCGTCACACCACATCTCGTCACACCACACCTCGCGTCACACCACACCCCGCGTCACACCACACCCCGCGTCACACCACACCCGCCACACCCCGCCACACCCCACAGGGCTGGCGTGTTGGGGGGTGCGAGGGAGCGGTCGTGACGCGATTAGACGATGACGTCACACGGTGGTGGGCGTGAATGTATCATTACGGTGCTCACCTTAGCACTCACTCTCACTTTAACACTCGAACTGACAGTCACCCCAACACTCACCCTCACCCCAACACTCACCCTCACCCCAACACCCCAACACTCGCCCCAATACTTGCACTCACACCGCAACACTGACACCCACCCTTCACACTGAACTCCTGACACCGACTCCACACTAACAAAGACATCGGTACAGTACTCAAGTTGATCCCAAACCCTGCCATCAAATCTGACGAAGACACCACCGCCTCACCTGTAAATGGGTACACTATGTAAATGAGTACACTGCCATTGGCTAGAGACTAAATGAGTTCACCCTGTAAATGGGTACACTCTGTAAATGAGTACACTGCCATTGGCTAGAGATTAAATGGGCTCGCTCTGTAAATGGGTACACTCTGTAAATGAGTACACTGCCATTGGCTAGAGACTAAATGGGTTCACCCTGTAATTGGGTACACTCTGTAAATGAGCACACTGCCATTGGTTACAGACTAAATGGGCTCACCCTGTAAATGGGTACACTATGTAAATGAGTACACTGCCATTGGTTACAGACTAAATGGGTTCACCCTGTAAATGGGTACACTATGTAAATGAGTACACTGCCATTGGCGACAGACTAAATGGGTTCACCCTGTAAATGGGTACACTATGTAAATGAGTACACTGCCTATGGCGACAGACTAAATGGGTTCACCCTGTAAATGGGTACACTCTGTAAATGAGCACACTGCCATTGGTTACAGACTAAATGGGTTCACCCTGTAAATGGGTACACTCTGTAAATGTGCAGTCGCACCCGGCCTCTTAATCTGAGATCCTGCGGTTCGCTCAGGAATGGGGTCCCTGCCCCTTGTAACGCCCCCCCCCCCCACGATCCACATCCACCACGACCCCTCCCTCATCACCACCCCTCCTCCGTATGCCAGGAGGCCATCACGACGCACCTATGAGTGGGTGGTGTGTAACGGCACCACGCCGGGCCGCCTTTGTCTCCCCAGTGCTGACGTTTATGACCCACGGCGCCGTTGGGCTCGTAGCGCGGTGCGCTCGCCACCACGTCGCGTGATGCGGAGTGTAATAGGTGCTCGCTAACAGCACTCGATCCAGCAATCTATGTAAGCTGCATGCGGGATCTTTATATTTTGTGTGTGTGTGTACGTGTGCCAATAATGAAATACTGTATTACCAATCAACCTATCGCCCACCAAATTATAAACAACCATCGACTCGTAGCAAGTGTCAACCAGTACCAACCAATCGCATTGGATATCAACACAGCTTGACGCGGCCGTCTGGTGACCTTGCACTTTATTGACAGCTGGCACACAGGCAGGGTTGGCAGGACTGCTGATGATGATGATGGTGGTGGTGATGGTGGTAACGATGGTGACGATGGTGACGGTGGTGACGGTAGTGATGGTGATCAGGGTGGGGTATGCGGCAGGTGAGATGAAATGAAGCCCTGATATTGTTGTTTCCAATGATGATGATAATGTTTGTGATTATGACGTTCGTGATGACGTTAATGCTGATGATGGTAATGCTGATACTTGTGATGATGATGCTGTTGAGCATCACGTGAAGGCTGACGGTCTCGCCGTTCGCAAACGATGACAGGAAGCGAACGTTCACAAATTAAACGACACAAAGCGAATTAAACCAAAAGCATTTAAATACAAGGCGGCTTATACAGGGCTCGAGTTCACACTGCTCCGGCACAGCCATTGCGACGACCGGTATACTGGACGTGGTGTGCCGGGTGCGTAGATATTCTCTGGGTCGCTGAAGGTAGACTGCGGGTCCACCAGCTCCCCATGTTTACCAACCATCGGGTGCGTGCAGTGTGTGTGTGTGTGTGCAGTGGCTTAACGTGCGTATGAATGAAAAAAGACAACCACGGCCGTAAACAAGGATAGGTATTCTGGACGTGGTGTGCCGGGTGAAATTAAGCCCTGGACCGAAGGCACTTAAAGGGTGGGGGGACACGGATGCAGGGGCTCGCCATGACGGTTTGGCAGTGTGGGGGGGAGGGGGGAGTGGGGGGCAGACTCCCCCGCCCCCCCGTGCCGCCCCCCCCCTCTCGTTTGGCAAGGTGGTTTTGTCCTCCGCTGATTGTCTCTGCTTAGTGGCACGAGGCCTGCGTCGCTCACCTGCACAGGTGAGGGGACAGGTAAGCGTGCAGGTGAGCATACAGGTGAGTATACAGTTAATGGCACAGGTGCGTGTACAGGTGAGCTTGCAGGTGCGTGTACAGGTGAGCACACAGGTGAGTGTATAGGTGATTGCACAGGTGAGTGTACAACGTACAGGTGAGGGCACAGGTGATGTGAGGAGCGGCTGGCGTTTTTAAAGGGGCTGCGAGGTAATTGACCACAAAACAAGCGGTGGATTACGATGTCAAATCGACCAATCGGATTGAGGGAATACTCGGGCCAGCTCCGCAGGTGATGCAGGTGAGTGGACATACCTACTCCGTACACAGGAGACATGTGAGTCAGAAAGAGGTGAGGAGTTGAACAGTAGGAGAAAATGAAGGATGTGATGAGGTGAGTTTGGTGTGGATGAGGTGAGGCTGGGATGATGATATTGAGGAGGCACTCACGTGGACGAATCAGGCGGTGGACTGAGCTGCACACACGCACACAGGTGTCACAGGTGTCACAGGTGTTACAGGTCACGGATAGCCATCACACCGACCCACACAGGGTGAGTGGACAAGTGAGTGGGTGGGTGAGCGAAAGAGTGGGTGGGTACGTGAATGGGTGTGTGAGTGGGTTAGCGATCGGGCGGATGGGTGAATGCTTTGATGAAGGAATGAATGTACGAGTGTGTAAGCAATTGAAAGGGCCAGTGAGTGACTGAATCAATAATTGAATAACTGAATGAATGAGCGAAAGAATGTGTCAGTGAGTGAACAAAACATGAATTGGCGAATGAATAAGTGAATGGGTGAGTGCATGGGTGAGTGAGCGTCACAACCAAGGCTCCTCACCTGGGATGAGGCTATCAGAGCGATCTCCACGGTGCCTGCGCAGACGGTCACAAGATACATTACGCACAGTTACGCACAGTCACACAGAGTCACAGTTACAGGAAGTTACGTGGACCCTCACAGCTACTCCTCACCAGGTGAGGGCCAGGGGAGCTCTCTCCCGGCCCTCGCCTGCTCAAGGGTCTCACCTGTCCTGCGGGAATCTGCAGCGGCAGTGTTTACCTGCACACAAAGACAACGACACACACGCATACGTCAGTACTCGTGATTGTGTCTCAGTGCGTTTCAGCAGTGTGCATGTCTGAGTGTTGCGTGATGCTCGTGAAGGCCGCTACTGGGCAGTTGGAGGCAGTCGCCTTCCAACAACAACGGAGGGCGGAGGAGCGACGCTCACAACAACGAGCGGAGCGCCGGGTGACTAAAGCACAGCAGGTTGGCACAGTAGGGGGCACAAGTGGTGCATCAGCCAGTCATCTCAGTCGACCCGTGGCACCTGCTGGGTCTGCCCCGTGACCTCCTGCCAGCGGGCGTTCAACACTTCACGTGGCCTCAAGGTGCACATAGCCTGGCACAAACGTCGTGGTGACGTCACCGCCACTTAGTGGCGAATGGCGCTTGTTGTTGTGTGATACATTGCGTGTCTGATCTATGGGGAGCAGTCGTGCAGCGGTTAGCGCTATATTACGAAATCGGCGATCCGGGTTCGATTTACGCTCACGACCAAAACCGGTGTTGATTATCTGAAGTGGTCCTGGGACTCTCCTAGGTCGACTCAGCCTCAAATTAGTAACTGGTGTCGATGTGTAAACATCTCCATTCGGGAGACAAAGGCGGCCGGGCGTAGCGCTGACCACACACCTCCTCGTGTGCCGTGCCAGGATTCATAGGTGCTACTCTTTAACGGCACTTGCGCCAACAGTCTGTTGAGGCTACACAGGGTACCTTTGTCTGTGCACGCTGCGTGTGTGTGTGCGCTCACTGAACACGATGAGGAGTCCGGCCACGAAGAAGATGAAAGCGAGGGACAGCCCCCACTTACGCAGCGTTTCGTAGTCTGGCGGGGGGGGGGGGCAGAGACGAGGCGCACAGCGGGGGCGGGGGGGTCGAGTTGGAGGCGGAGGGCTCGGGGTTGGGTCCGGTTTAGGGTGCACTGTGTACTCGTGTTTGTGTTGGGCCACGTGGTGTAAGTTCATGCTGACATCGTGTGTGCCACACATGTACCCGTGTGTGTCTGTGTACACACATGTAGCCGTGTGTGTCTGTGTACACACATGTGCCCGTGTGTGTGTCTATGTGTACACACATGTACCCGTGTGTGTGTCTATGTGTACACACATGTACCCGTGTGTGTGTACATACATGTACCCGTGTGTGTGTGTAAATACACATGTACCCGTGTGTGTGTGTGTGGGGGGAGCGGTAGTGTGGTGTTAGCGTACTGTACTACGAAGCCGGCGACCCGATTTCGATTTCCGATCACGGCCAAAATCAGTGACGATTATCTTATTCGGTCCTGGACCTCCCCCTAGGTCGACTCAACCTTAAATTGGTACCTGGTGCGGTGTAAAACATCGCCACTGGGGAGACAAAAACGATCGGGCGTTGTGCTGGCCACCCACCCCCTCGTGTGCCACAGTGCCGCCCTTCTTCACAGGAGCTCGCTAACAGCACTTGCCCCAACAGTCTGGTAAAGCGACACGGGGGATATTTGTCTTTGTACACACATGTACCCATGTGTGTGCATGTACATTACATGTACGCGTGTGTGTCATGTGAGAATTCGTATCCTCTCTTAGCAGCAGCCACTCACCATAAGTCAACTTATCGGGCTGTTTAAGATTTCCTGTAGGGTGGGAGGGAGGGGGGAGGATGGAGGGAGAGAGAAGGAGGGAGGGAGGTTTAGGAGGAGGATCAAAGCACCGCAGGTGTGGACGTGGTGACCACGACTGTGATGATCCCGTCGACGGTTGCCATGACGATGACGGTGATGGTGAAGAGAGCGCCATGGAGACGATGACAGATGGATGGACGGATGGATGGAGAGATGGATGGGGGGTGTCATGGTAGAAGTGATTGTGATGATGACACTTGCCACGGTGATGCTGATGATGCTAATGGTGATGAAGCTGCCATCGCGATACTGACTGATGGTGGTGGTGATAGTGGTTGTGGTGGTTATGGTGGTGGTGTTACAAGTGTTGCTGGTGGCATTGCTGTGGTGCTAGTGGTTGTGGTGTTTTTGGTGGTTGTGGTGTTGCTGTGGTTGTAATAGTAGTGGTTGTGGTGCTGGTTGTGGTTGTGGTGGTGGTTGGAGTGGTGGTGGTGGTTGTAGTGGTGGTGGTGGTTGTGTTGCTGTGGTTACCGTCCACGGACGTCGCGTCCTCGGCCACGGCAACTGAAACAGAGAGGGCAGCGCGTCACCACACAGCTACCTCACCAGCTCCCTCACCAGCTCAACTCACCAGCTCCTCACTGAATTCCTCACCAGCTCCCTCACCAGCTCCCTCACCAGCTCAACTCACCAGCTCCTCACTGAATTCCTCACCAGCTCCCTCACCACCTCCCTCACCAGCTCCTCACTGAATCCCTCACCAGCTCAACTCACCAGCTCCTCACTGAATCCCTCACCAGCTCCCTCACCAGCTCCCTCACCACGTCCCTCACTGAATTCCTCACCAGCTCCCTCACCAGCTCCCTCACCAGCTCAACTCACCAGCTCCTCACTGAATTCCTCACCAGCTCCCTCACCAGCTCCCTCACCAGCCTCCCCACTGAATCCCTCACCAGCCTCCTCACCAGCTCCCTCACCATCTGCCTCACTAGCTCCCTCCTCTACCCTCACCAGCTCTCTCATTGTCTCACCAGCTCCAACTCCACTCCCTCACCGTCTCCCTCACCAGAGCTGGCAGAGAGAAAGGGAGAAAGAGAGAAAGAGCGATGTCCCAAACGCGGTATTTACTCTGCCGGCACCAGGGTGAGAGACAGGGCTGTCTAGAAGGGGAGGGACAACGGGCGAGGGAGCTGGTGAGGAGGGGGCTGGTGAGGAGTGGGAGGAGGGAGCTGGTGAGGAGGTGGAGGATGGAGCTGGTGAGGAGGGGGAGATGGGGGCTGGTGAGGGGGTGGAGAAGGGAGTTTGTGAGGAGGGGGCTGGTGAGGAGGAGGAGACTGGTGAGGGGGTGGAGGTGGGGGCTGGTGAGGAGGTGGGGGCTGGTGAGGAGGTGGGGGCTGGTGAGGAGGAGGGGCCTGGTGAGGGGGTGGAGGAGGGGACCGGTGAGGAGGTGATTCGCCTGACCTCCCGTCCCCCACGTCACCCGTAGAGCAAATATTGACATGAAAACAGCTCCCGCACACACAAAGTCGAAGATCCCCCGTGTAGCCTTAACAGACTGTTTGGGCAAGAGCTGTTAGCGAGTAGCTATGAAGGTCGGCACGGCACGTGAGGGGGTGGGTGGCCACCACCCCGCCCGGCCCTCTTTGTCTGCTGAGTGGCGATGTTTACAATTGGCATCAAGTACCCATTTGAGGCTGAGTCGACCTGAAATCACATTGGAGTTCTGCAAGCCTCTCCTCATCGTGCCTGGCAAGGGGATGTTGAATAATCCTTTCCAGGATCTTTCCTGGCCTCACACTTAGGAGGGATTTGCCCTGATAGTTAGAATCAGTGTGGCCCCCCTTCTTAAGCATGCAGACCCCACCAAGGCATCCTTCCAAACCTGTGGAACCCAACCTGATGTCATGTAGGGCAGCCTGTATGTAAATGCCACCCTCTCTCACAGTTCACTTGGGAGATCGTCTCTGCTCAGTGCTTTACCTCGTCTCATGCTCTGGATCACCTTTTGCAATTCGTCAACTGATGTCACATCATGCAGCTACTCACAGGGGGTGGCTACTTCCCCCAATATTTGAGGCACAGCAGCCCCCCGGCAGATTCAATCCCTCGTTGCCCCGTGATGTTATCTGAGCTGAGGGGGTTTCCCTCCTCCAAGACCTCAGAAATCCTCAGCAAACCTGAAAATATGTCCCTTGTGGTCAGAGATAAGATCACCGCTCTTTCCCTTGAGGACAGTAATAGATGTGGCGCTGCAAGTTACTTTTGCATGGAATTAAAGAGTGAGTTGTGATCGCTACTGAGGCAGTTTCCATAGCCTCTGCAACCCGCGACCTCCACTCATCCTTGCAGCGCCACAAAGCTTTCCGAACCTCTGAGCGAAGGCTGCCGTGAGCTTCCTCAATCTCAGACGTGGGACTGAGGAGCCAGGGTCTCTGGGGGAGGGTCTGAACCGTGTTCCCAAATGCCGTCATTGCTGCTGCATGAGCCACAGTCCTGAACCTCAATTCATACTCAGCATCAGGAGGGGGGGGGGGGTGATGGCAACCCCAGCTTCGAGCGACGATGACATTCTCGCTTGCAACCTTCATCAGCGAGCCGAGACCAGGCCATTGTGGGTTTGAATGGGGTCCTAGATGGGCACCCACCACTGCAGTGGAAGAATGGCAGGCGCCTCTTGCAGTGGGCATGTCAGCTCCACGGTAGGTCCTGGCGTCAAGGGCATGGGCTCGCATCCGTTGTTCCGTCAATGTATCGTGGCACACACTGATACTGGCACGCCATCCCACTGACACTGACACGCCATCACACTGACACTGACACACCATCACACTGACACACCATCACACTGACAACAACCGCCATTCGTCACTCAGGGGTGGTGAAGTCACAACGGCGCTTGTGCCTGGCTAGGTGCACGCTGACACGCACTCACCACACACACTCACCACACACACTCCCTCACCTGTCAGCCCCAACGCGAACACGCAGATGGCGGCGAGAGCGTGCATGGTTCTAGCGTCAGACGGAGAGGGGAGAGAGGCAGCGTGTTTAGGTGTGAGTGGCAGCGTGGTGTTGGCGTGCGAGTGTGAGAACGTGTGTTGAGCTGTGAATGTGTGACAGTGCGTGTGTGTGTGCGAGTGAGTGAGTGTGTGTGCGTGTGTGTGCGAGTGAGTGTGTGTGCGCGCGAGTGAGTGTGTGTGCGTGTGTGTGCGAGTGAGTGAGTGTGTGTGCGTGTGTGTGCGAGTGAGTGTGTGTGCGTGTGTGCGCGCGAGTGAGTGTGTGTGCGTGTGTGTGCGTGTGTGCATGTTTGTGCGAGTGAGTGTGTGTGCGAGTGAGTGCGTGTGCGAGTGAGTGTGTGCGAGTGTGTGCGTGTGTGCATGTGTGTGCGTGTGTGTGTGTGCGCATGCGAGTGAATGTGTGTGCGTGTGTGTGCATGTGTGTGCGAGTGTGTGTGCGAGTGAGTGTGCGAGTGAGTCTGTGTGTCGTGGGTTGTGGTGGTGTCACGGTTAGCGCGCTGCGCTACGAACCTTGCGACTCAAGTTTGATTTCGGGTCACAGTCAACATCGGTGATGATTATCAGAACCGGTCCTGGGCCTCCCCTAGGTCGACTCAGCTTCAAATAAGTTACTGGTGCGATGCGTTAACATCGCCACTTTGGAGACAAATTGCGGCCGGGCGTGGTGCTGGCCACCCACCCCCTCGTGTGCCGTGCCGGCATCCATAGGTGCTCGCTAACAACACTTGCCCCAACAGTCTGTTAAGGCGACACGGGGGATCTTTGTTTTGTTGAGGTGTAAATGTGACTGTGTGTGTGTTGATATGTTAATGTGTTTATTGACCTGGTCAAGGCCTATGATACCATCTGTAGGCCTGGGCTCTGGGTTGTTCTTCGTGCTTTTGGAGTCCCTGACCCTCTGCTCACGATCATTTAGAACCTTCATGATGGTGAGCGGGCCCTGGTAAAACTACGTGGCCGGGAGTCAGAGACATTCCCTGTACACCTTGGGGTGCGACAGGGATGTCCTCTGGCTCCCACATTATTTAACATCTAGTTTGGCCACGTAGTTCGTGAAGCCTTCAATAGCTGTACCAGGGGAATCTCCATATGGTACAGATATAATGGGAGGCTGATCGATGCCCGGGTGCGGTCAAGGGATGGCTCCCTATTGCTCAATCACGTTATGTATGCCGATGATTTGGTAATATCTGCTCATTCAGAGGAGGGGTTGGAGACGCTGCTGCTGAGACTGGAGCGTGCTACTAAGAGATGGGGTCTTACCATCAGCCCCACCAAAACTAAGCACCTACCTGGGTATTTTGTACCATCGGACACTCCACCCCTACAACTCCCAATCGGTGATGGGGCAGTTGTGGAGAGTTTCCCATACCTGGGCAGTGTGCTTATGACCGGCTCCAGTTTAACAGCAGAGGTCTCACTCCGAATCAGTCGAGCGGCAAGCTAGCTGGTCTGTCGCTCCGCACTAAGCTTCAGGTCTTCTCGGCCACGGTCATTCCCTCCCTTCTCTATGCTTGCGAAACGTGGACCCCCTTTATGGAGCATCTTCGCCGGTTGGAAACATTTAGGCTGGCCTGCTTACGATCCATCCTGGGTTTAACCAGGCTGGAATGTGTGAAGAGCTCACAAATCCTTGAAAGATCTGGGCAAGGTCCCATCGGTGAGCTCCTCTGGCAGGCAAGGCTGTGTTGGCTGGGTCATGTAGCCCGCATGCCCAGCCACCGCATGCCGAAACAGCTTTTGTTCGGCCGGATCGAGGTGGCTAAATGGGCGTGGCACGGGCTAGAGAAGAGATGGAGTGATGTGGTACAGGAGGACGTGGAGCTGAGTGGACTTGCCGATGACTGGTACCAGCGGTGTCAAGATCGGCCTCTGTGGAGGAGGCTCGTGAAGGACGCTATTGGGCAGTTGGAGGCAGTCGCCCTCCAACAACAACGGAGGGCAGAGGAGCGACGCTCACAACAACGAGCGGAGCGCCGGATGGCTAAAGCACAGCAGGTTGGCACAATGGGGGCACAGGTGGTGCACCAGCCAGTCATCTCAGTCAGTCGACCCGTGGCACCTGGATCTGCCCCGTGACCTCCTGCCCGCGGGCGTTCGACACTTCACGTGGCCTCAAGGTGCACATGGCCTGGCACAAGCGTCGTGGTGACGTCACCGCCACTTAGTGGCGAATGGCGCTTGTTGTTGTTGTGTTGGGGTTGGTGGACTTTGGTGTAGTGGTTCGCGTGCTGCACGAAACAATTCCCGGCCACGACCAACATCAGTGGAGATTTATATTTGAACCGATCCTGGGCTTCCCCAAGATGGATTCAGCCATAAATGGCGAATTGATGGAGTGTGAAAAATATCAGCACTGGGGAGACAAAGGCGGCCAGGCGCGGCGCTCGCCACATCACCTCCTTGTGTGCCTTAATATCACTTGCCTCTACAGCCTGTTCAAGGCTACATTGGAGATATTTGTCTTTTGTGTGTCAGGGAGCGGCGAGTGAGTGGGTGTGGTGTGTGTGGGGGCACGTTGGGATGTGTGAATGCTCAATGGTGTGTGTGTGGTACACGTGGTGTGTGTGTGTGGTACACGTGGTGTCTGTGTGTGTGGCACACGTGGCGTGTGGTACACGTGGTGTGTGTGTGGTACACGTGGTGTGTGTGGTACACGTGGTGTCTGTGTGTGGTACACGTGGTGTGTGGTACACGTGGTGTCTGTGTGTGTGGTACACGTGGTGTGTGTGTGTGGTACACGTGGTGTCTGTGTGTGTGGTGTCACATTTCTCGTGCAGTCCCCCCACCCCGTTTCTCGCTCTTGCGCAATTCCCCCTCTCTGCCCACACTCGATTGACCACGCGGTTGGGGCGCGGGAGGGTGGTGGTGGGGGTTAGGGAGATGGTGATAGTGGTGGTGGTGGTGAGGGAGAGTAGTGGGTGGTGGTGGTGGTGAAGGAGAGTGGTGGTGGTGAAGGAGAGTGGTGGTGGTGGTGGCGAGGGACAGTGAGTGGAGGGTGCATCATTCGAAATCATCTTTGGGAGTGAATCTCGTCTCTCCGTGTGCCCAGTCCACCACCACCATCACCACTATCATTGTCATCAGCAAGAATCAATATCATTGTCATCATCAGCAACTACAACAGCAACAACAATACGGTATGCTGATTCTGCTGATCATGCCAATTATTGATTAATCTGTTGAGTTTGTGTCTCGTAATTCTATGATTCATGCTGCAGCTAATGACGCTGCCACTGATGATGATGCTGCTGATGATGATGCTGCCACTGCTGATGATGCTGCTGATGATACCGCCGCCGTTGCTGATGATAATGAGCCGTGGCTTGCCCCGCGATTGAGGGTGTGGAGCAATGCGCGGATCGTGACAGTAAAATTATCCTCGGCTCAAAATAACGCAGCGACGCCCTGGGACAGACACACAGAGAGACAAAGATCCCCCGTATAGCCTCTGACGGATTTTTGGGGCAAGTGCTGCTCGCGAGGATAACCTTTGAAGGCCAAGGTGGCGCACCAGGATTGTGTCGCCAGCGACACGCCCCGGCCACCTTAGTCTCCCCAGTGCTGACATTTGTTATTTACATTCTGCTACATGTACTCGTATGGGGCTGAGTAGATGCAGGGGAGGTCCAGGACTGGTTCAGATGTCCGTCACTCTTATTTGGTCGTGAACGAACTCTGTCTGCCCGGTCCGGAGCGCAACGCGTTAACGACTGCGCCACTGCTCCCCATACGCACACAGACATTCACGTTCACACAATCTGCACCGAGCAGTGCGATGAAGTATGGTGAAACAAACAAAACGCATGGCTCGACATGGTGCGGGCCCACTTGAGCTGCTTGGGGCTCCTTGAGCTACTTGGGTCATTACGCTGTTGCTTGGTTTGCTGCAAAATAACAATACTGGAATAAGAACGTACAACAGGAGGGGCTCTGTCTCTCTCTCTCATGAAGAGAGTCGGAGTTGCGAGCAGGAGGAACCACAGACGAGCGGGAAAGCAGCGGCAGCCACGAGGTGAGTGGCCATCCCCCCGAGCTGCCGTCCTCCATATATCCAAGTGTTAGCGGCCAATGAATAAGCGTTTACATGTGGGGGGAAATCGAAGCAACACTCTCTGATACAGACGCAACGGGTGGAGTCCACACTTCGCGGTACCGCCTCCTGGTGGCGAGCCAGGGGTATGGCTCCTCGTCGCCGCTCGCGAGAAGGGAGTTCTACAACATCTTTGTGTGATCCACCAACGCTCGCAGCCGCGTGCAGCCACCGCCACCACCACCACAATGTCCACAGACAGCACGACAACCATAGCCGCTTGCTTGCAGACTGCAGGGGCAGACGATTCTCTGCCGCTCTCAGTCGGGAGCTCGGATGATTCACGGGGCCAGATTTTAATCTTCCAGAAAAAACGAGGATCCCAAGCATTCGGCCGATGTGTGGAAAATGCATTTCTGGGCCAGCGCAGGGCGCCAACAACGCGTGGCCTTGGCCAGGACAAAGTCCGCACGCGGGGGGCTGCACAGACAGGGAGGTCGCACGGTGGCTAGGGCCATTGCTGGAGATCATGGTGGGGGGAGGTGGGGGGAGGTGGGGGATGGTGGGGGGAGGTGAGGGATGGTGGGGGGAGGTGGGGGGCAGTTGGGGCAGGTGGGGGGCTGGTGGGGGGAAGTGGGGGCTTGTGGGGGGAGGTGGGTGGGGGTGGAGACCGGATTGACACCGCGAGGCGGATCGAGGAGCGCGTGAATTTCGGTAGCGCGCGCAGGTTGGTGACGTCACCCGCTGTGATTGTGGTGATTGTGGTGATTGTTAACAACTGAATTCAACACGTTCGTCAATAAAACTGTGGCATTGAGAGTAAATCTATGTCATGGACAACATTTCAGGCCATGGCCCTTGGTTTCGGGCCATGGACTGTGAAGAAGGACCATTGCCCGAAACGTCACCTATCATATACATTATTTTGTCTTTGAAGGCCAAAGACAAAGAACTCCCGTATAGCCTTAACAGAATGTTGGGGCAAGTGCTGTTAGTCAGCACCTATGAAGGCCGGCACGGTACACGAGGCGGTGCGTGGCCAGCACTACGCCAGGCTGTCTTTGTCTTCCTAGTGGCGATGTTTACACACCGCACCGGGTATTAATTTGAGGCTGAGTCGACCTGGGGGAGACCCCACACTTGTTCAGATAATCGTCACTGGTGTTGGCCGTGAGCGGGAATTGAACCCGGGTGGCCAGGTTCGTAGTGCAGCTCGTTAACTGCTGCACTATCGCTCCCCACACACACACACACGTGTGTGTGTGTGTGGGGAGCGGCAGTGTGTGTGTGTTAAACTTCTTTCGCACCGTGCGTAGCCAACCGTGTTAATCGGAAGGGCGGGAGAAGGGCAACAAGCTAAACACAAAAAGCAGTTTTTTTTGCGTTTAGTTTCGAACCGGTTCATATAATCGTCACTGGTGTTGGGCGTGAGCGGGATTCGAACCCGGGTGGCCGGGTTCACACACGCGCGGTGTCAAGAGCGTAGGCGACGGTGACAGCCTAGCAAGCGGGAACGCGTCCCAGTGGCCACGGAGATGGAGCGATGAAATGATGGCGTGCGCGGCGGACGCTGGGTGCATTTTCATCGTTGGCGACGGCGTGCGGAGGAGGCCTTCGTCCCAACAGTGAAGCCATCATGGCAGCAGAAGCTGCTGCTGATGATGATGATGAAGACTGTAGGATGTTTTAATAAAACATTGTCCACATTCGAAATTGGATGTGCGCGGCTTCTGCGCGACGCTCCCGACAGTGCGGGAAATTGGCATCTGTGTTCGGGCGGCAGGAATTGATTTGTACCGAGCGCTGTGACCGGTATCGTGCTGAACTTTATCCCAGTAAACGGCTCGGTATTGACAACAGACCCAGTGGTGACTGAGAAACGTGGTCCTGGTTTGCGCCACTGTGGACGAGGTGGCGGCCCTACTTCAGAGCAGGGCATGCCCATACATACTCGCGAGTCAAAGGTCACGGCCGCATCGCTGACAATTAAACGTTGAATCGCAAAATGTGTAATGTAACGTAACAGTGTCAAACGTGCCTGCTGTTCACAACGCGTTTGAGTGGGGGTGACAGTGTGCGCTGAGGCTGTTGTGTCCGCGCTGGGCCGCAAATCTGACGTTGGGGGGGGGGGGGGGTGTTGTGGAGTGGATGGAGGGGCTGGTGGTGGTGGGGGGGAGGTCATTGAGGCCACGCCGTGACGCGAGACCAGCCCCGGGAAATTCAGCCTCCAGCCCGAGCGGACTGCCCGGGCGCAGTTGACACAACAGCCGCGGCGACGGCGCCAGGCCAAACCAGAGTCGTGCGGCGCTCGTGGGCGGCACAAACACCCGCGCTTCGCAGCAAGGAGGCCCCCCTCCCCCCGACGCTGAGTTCGACTACCGACTGGGGCGCCTTCCTGCGTGGCGCGTGGAGTTTAGATGTTTCCTCCCTCTCCTCTGTTGAGTGTGAGCGAGTGTAGTTTGTATTCTCTCCCCCTCTCCTGCGAGGGTCTTACTCCGGGTTCACCGGTTCCCTCCCACAGCTAAAACAAAACACGATGTAACTGAAATTGGCCAAACCACATCCCCAATATTGAAACAAAAAAGCCACCTGCAAATTACTCAGCTGTAGACCACACCCAGCAGCAGCAGTAACACCCCCCCCCCCACCGCGAAAACCCGGCAGGACCCTCCTCAAAAAGAGTCTTAAAACTCAGGGAGGCCTTCCTGGGTACACTAGTACAGTACAACAACAATAATATATTAGAGAACAGATAATGGAGTCCCGCCTCAGAGTGCTGAAGGCGAAACCCTTCAGGAGCCATTGACGTGGTGGGAGCTGTGCTGCCAGATTCTCTCCAGACGATAGTGGGCATGGCTGGCTGGCTGCCTGACACTCAAAGACAAAGGCTCTTCGTATAGCCTTCAACAGACTGTCGGGGCACGGCACACGAGGGGGTGGGTGGCCAGCACCACGCCCGGCCACCTTTGTCTCCCGAGTGGCGATGTTTACACACGGCACCAGGTACTCATTTGAGGCTGAGTCGACCTAGGGGAGGCACAGGATCTGTTCAGATAATCGTCACTGCTATAGGCAGTGGACGGGAATCGAACTTGGGTGGCCGGGCTTGTAGCCCAGCGTGCTAACCGCTGTGTCACCGCTCCCCACATTCACGTACAAACACACGGACACAGGCGGATACGGTAACAGCCACACAAGGACACGCGCAGTTACAAAGTTACACACAGTCACACAATTACACAGCCACGCAGCCACAACAAATACAAGGATCCGCTGTGTCGCCTACAGATGCATATGGGACACGTGCAGCCAAGACAAATAGACGCAACAAAGATCCCGCGTATGGCCTTGACAGACTTTTGGGGCAAGTGCTGTTAGCGAGCACCTATGAAGGCCGGAAGGGCCAGCAACACACACACTCAGTCACATGTACAGTCTCTCACACACACACAGTTACACAATGATAAAGATCTCCTGTGTAGCCAAAGCAGAAAGTGGGGGAAAGCGCTGTAAGAGAGCACAGGCACGACCATATGGCCACGCGCAGTCTTTCACACAAAGACAAAGATCCCCCGTATAGCCTACGTGGAATGTAGGGAGAAAGTCATGTGGCGAGCACAGGAGTGGGTGGTGTGGCGAGCACCACGCCCTAGCGCCTTTGTCTCTCTAGCGCCGATGTTTACACACCGCCCCCGTTATTCAGGGCCGAGTGTACCTAGGCAAGGTCCGGTCGGGACACGTTGTGAAAAATATCACTTGGCTACAAAGGCAATGCTCACCCATGTAGTCTGCACACAATGTTGGGACACGTGCTGTGAGCGCGCCATACACGCAGAGTGACACACACGACCGCACGGTGGTGGTAGTGGTGGTGTCGGGATGTAGTAGGGTGTGGAGTGATTGTGTCACGCCTCAACACGTTACAACAAGACGAGGGTGACAGCATGCCACGGACTTCACAGCGACACGCGAACCAAGTAAAACATCAGACGCGTCAGCAGCATCAGAATAACTATCATCATCATCACCATCAGCAGGAACATCGCTCGTGAGCCGCGTTCAGGGTTAGGACGAGCACCGCCGCCTTTGTTTCCTTGACTTTCCTATGTTCGGGTTCGCACGCACCTCAAGCTTAACGCGGCTCATCAGCGAGACAGCTGCTGAAGATGCTGCTGCTGATGATGACGACGACGAGTATGGCCCCTATGGGGTTCGCGTCGACCCGAACCCCGACTCGCACCCCGACTCCGCGTGCCCTTAACCCACACCTAACGGCCCCTCTCTCTACCCCCCACCCTCTCTCTCCACCCCCTGTGCTCCCTCTCAAATATCCCCGGGATGGGGTGGCGGGGACTAACACCAACCCCCTCGTGGCTCACCAGGCGAGGAGGTGGACGAGGTGGTCGCGGGTGTAGATCCGAGCGAGGCTGATTCTTGAAGTGCGCACTCCCCTGCTGCTGCTCCTCTCCCACTGCCTCCTCCTCCCCCGCCTCCCCTCCCCGAACAGCCTTGTTCACGCCTCCCGTGGTTCGGACCGTGTGGCCCATACGCACCACCGTACGTAGCCAACCGCGCCAATCAGAGGTGCGGGGGAAGGACAACAAACTCAAACACAAAAAAGCAGTTCTAAAGAAAATAGTTTTCCATCGAGATTTTAAAGCGCATAGCTTCAGTGGCTTCCTAATTTCGGGAGGAAGAGGCGTTCCAGACGGCCGGAGAAGCGCATCTGAAAGCGCGCGACGCAATGACCTCTGTGTTCGATTGACCTCGCGGAATCAATGCTGATACTTTACCCGCACGTCCGCCTTTGTCTCCCCAGTGCTAATGGTTACTCGCTGCAGTACACGAAGGGACTGATGTATCGTGTCCCTTGGTGTACGTTAGTGTGTATGAGTGAGTAAACATCACCCCTGGGGAGACAAAGGCGGCCGGGCACGGTGCTGGCCACCCCCCCCCCCCCCCCCCCCCCCCCCCCATCGTGTGCCATGCCGGTCTTCATCAGGGCTCGCTAGCAGCACTTGCCCCGACACTCTGTTAAAGGCCGCTATCGTCTGTAAGTGAGGCTGTCAGTGTGTCAGCATTGTTGACTAACTCGTTGCCGCCTTTGTCTCTCTGAGCGGTCTCGAGTCGATGAGAAGGAGGCAGCAGCCACAGCTGTGGCTGGGTCTGTTTTGTTTTGCTGAAGAGGATGTGAGGGGCTGGGAGGGAGAGGCCGTGCCCAGTGATGGCTGTGGTTGTGGGCGCCCAGGGAGGGAGGGAGAGGAGGAGGGGAGGTGGCGGGTTTGGCAGATGCCGAGTATGGGGGGCGTAGTGGATTTGGGAGGCTTTCAATGACGTGTAGCTATGTGTGAGATGGCGGGAGCTGCGATATGGTATGTTTGGGGGCTAAGGGGGTATGCTGGGGTATAGAGGGGGTAGGGGTACTGAGAGGGTGCATGTACAGGGGGTGTGTAGAGGCCAGCATCGCCATCACCATCAGCCGTGATCAAGTTGGTGGTGACGAGCACACAGAAAGAAGACGAAAACAATTTGACCAAACGAATCGAATCGCGTTCCCTGAATCGCGATCATTCATCGATGAACCGGCAGGGCACACGAGGGGCGGTGTAGCCAGTGCCACGTCCGGCCGCCTTTGTCTCCGCAGTACTTTCTTGTACCAGGTACTTACTCACTGCCTTGGTCTCCTGGTGTGTGGCTGCGCAGCTGCTCCCGACCATCCTCAAGCTCTGTGTGCTACCTCAAGAGTTCCGTGCCACCTTGTGTGAGCGCTGTGAAGCCTCCCCACCCCACCACCGCGTTACATAATGGCCAGGTGTTCAACCTGAGCCGCGTCTCACCGACTTGGCACGCCTCAATCTGACCGCAAGACCATCCAGCGTGTCCCTGTGAGACATCTTTGATTCTTGAGCAGATGAAGAGCAATGATTGCAAGCGGCGGCCGATTGCTGTGAGGCCGCCGTCTCGCCACCACTCATCCATCCTTGAGGGGCCCTCCACGACGCTAGGAGACCTGCCCATGGTTATTTATGATGTATCTAACGCGATGCTTGTTTACGAAAGTAAAGCCTCACTGAGTCTCAAGACTACTTTTTCAGGAGGGTCCTGCGAAGGTTTTTACAGTAGGGGTTGGGATTCGATGTTGCTGCTGCTGTGTGATCTCAATTGTGTATTCTGCAGGTGAGTTGTCAGCATTTAGGATGTTGTTTGGCCAATTACGTTTACGTTGAGTGGGGGGGGGGTGCTATAGGTGGAAACTGGAGGACCCGGAGGAAAGCCATGCTAACAGTGGGAGAGAATACAAACTCCGCACACTCATCCATACACACGCTCACTCTCTCACACTCTGCAGAACACGGGGAGAACATACAAAAAACTACAGTCACACACTCAACAATAACAACAGCCGTCATTCGCCACTAAGTGACGGTGACGTCACCACGGCGCTTGTGCCAGGCTCGGTGCACGTTGAGGCCACGTGAAGTGTCGAACGCCCTCTGGCAGGAGGTCACGGGGCAGATCCAGGTGCCATGGGTGGACTGACTGAGTCACTGAGATGACTGGCCGATGCACCACCTGTGCCCCCTACTCTGTCAACCTGCTGTGTTTTTTCAGCCACCCGGCGCTCCGCTCGTTGTTGTGAGCGTCGCTTCTCTGCCCTCCGTTGTTGCCGGAGGGCGACTGCCTCCAACTGTCCCAGTAGCGTCCTTCATGAGCCTCCTCAACACTCGCGCACACTCTCACACACAAAGACAACGGCTCACATTCTCATACCCTGCAGAACAGGCGGAGAACACACAGGCAGGTGCCTGAGGAGTCGAACCCAGGACCCTCTAGCTGAGGTGCACGTGCCACAACTGCGCTGCCTACCTGACATTCAGATTTCCAGATTTATTTCTGTATGGTTTATTTTCCTGTGAATTCTCTTTGCTCCATTGTGGCCTCGTATCCTACGAATAAAAGTAACAAATAAGCAGGACATTCAACTTCTACCCACATCTGTCCCACCACATGAACAAATATTAACGTATTTCTTTACCCATCCCATCAGCTACACGTGGTGGCCTTCTGGGAGTGCACGGGGACACTTTTAAGTGAAGGAGGCGTTTTGCCTTCTCATTGCTGCTGTGATTCCAAGTTACTGCCTTTGTCATTGTTGTGACCTTAGTCACTCTTACACATGAGACTCCTATCCTGGTCTCTTCACGTCTCACCTTGGTTACACAAAATCAACTTGACACTCGAAACGAGCTGAGCTTACAGGGGGCGGAGCCGTGGCGCAGTGATATGCGCACTGTGTAGTCCATCAATGTAACCCGGCTGCCCGAGTTCAATTAATCCCCTGCCACGGTTAACATCAGTGGCGATATCTGACTGGGTTGTGCACTCCTCCCTCCCACCACCACCACCACCACCTAACCAGCTCTCATTGACCAGCGTGGTGAAGTATGGTCAAACAACCTCCCCACAACCTACACGGCGTGAAGATGCCTTGATCCAGCAGTAGAATGATACAGAGCTGTCATGTACATCTGTTTTGAAATCTCGAGAGATCTGGCTCATTACCATCAGTCCTTAGAGACGGTAAAAGGCGCAGCCCTGCAACTGCTAGCTCACGCCACTGCTGGCGCAAGAGTCGTCACTAGGAGGGAGCTCTGGGGAGCCCCTGCAGAGGCTATTTGGTCTACTCTTTCACGCTGGACAGAAGCCTTGGAAGAGGTGTTAATTACCCACAAATCCCGCCACACGCCACTTGCATGCCGACCACAGACTTAGCTGGGGTGAACACATTTATACTGCTGGCATGGGATGAGTTGGGATGGGTGGGCGGTGCGGGATTTGCGAAATTCGCCCTCATTGTTTCAACTGGCGCGCCGGGAGATAGAACCGGCGAAGTGTGGCTCACAAGTCACGTGTTCAACACAAGTCACGTGTTCAACAAAGTCACGTGTTCAACACAAGTCTCAGTAACACGAGGGATGAACAGGGGCTTACGTAACAAACACGAGCTCGCGATCTCTCAGCTGGCAAGGGGTTGGGTGCCCCGCGAATGAAACGACGGCTCGGTAATAAACCCAATTAATCTTCAGATATAGCGCCAGGCCAATTAATTAAGACGTTAAGGTCGATTGGTTTTTATTCACATCACAATGAATCAACAGATGCGCGTGCTACAGCGCCACCTCGTGAGCTCACGGCTCCCATCCCAGTCCCAGCTGCCAATGGGACCACGTTGGACAGTCATTCTCGAACGGAGACGGATTTTCTCTTGCCAATTCCACTGCTGGATGAGGGTCGCCCTTTCCCACACCGTGTGGGTCGTGGGGGAGTTCATTATTTGACCACACTTCACCACGATGGTCAGCACGGAGGCGAGCGGAGGCGGATCTAGAAACTCCTGTGGCGGGAGAGGGCCCGGTCCTGAAAAGTCTAGCTTTTTGAAATATGGTTTTCTTATCTGGGAAAATAAATTAACTGAATGTTTAGAGCAGACGATGTTAACTCTACAGCTGCAGAACACGCGGAAATGTTTAATGACGGTGTTTATGCAACTGGCACCGAGTGAACATGGAACATTGGGCCAACGTTGATCCAACGTTTCCAATCGCACGCCAGCATTGTCCCAACGTTGGCTCAACGTTGGCGTGTTTACTTGGCAAGATGCCTTCAAACAAATGGAGACGTCTGTCGGAGTGGCCCATCTGGGGGAGACAGCACAGTGTGCACACCAAGAGCAGTTGTTGAAGGCAGCCCGGGATCAGAGCGGATGCAAAGCAACTCGATAAAAGTGCGTAAAGAAGTCGGGTTTCAATCGGTGCTGCATTACCCGCTGAGACAAACGAATCGGAGTGATGGACATCCACAAATAAAATTGAACACGGTGCTAAAAGTGCCCAGACAAGCGTGGGGAGGTGCACGCTTGGAATGACGCCGAGAGGAGCACATGGAGGAAGGGAACACGCACAGGTTGACTTGTTTGTATTTGACTCTCAAGGAAAGTCAGTGTGCTTGGGCAGGGCACGACCCCAGTAAACACGCAACGTTGGCCCAACGTTGCGTGTTCACTGGGTCATGCCGAGAAGCGATGAGGGCCGGTGGTCGAGACTAACGACGGATCGACAGGCAAGTTAAAGAGCAGGCCCGAGAGAGCGCGCCCGCCACGGAGATGGAGCATTGCTAGGGGGCCGTGAGAGATGGCCATGACTTTGGGAAGGCCTTCATCCAGCGGTGGATAGGTCATGGCTGGTGATGAGGGGATACAGTTGTTTTGGAGCTAAATCAATGGCAAGGTTTAGACGTCGCTGACAAGTGTTTATAGAGGGGTGTGAGGGTGACAGCGTGACGTTTGTACATGTGTAGGTGGGGAGCGGTGGTGGAGCGGTTAGCACGCTGCACTATGAACCCGCCCTACCCAAGTTCCATTCCCGATCACGGCCAACACCAGTGGCGATTATCTAAATCAGTCCTGGGCCTCCCCTAGGTCGACTCAGCCTCAAATGAGTATTTGGTGCTGTGTGTCAACATCGCCAC